TCACAGCAAGGAATGTTCAGATCAGTGAGCCCATACATTTCTCATTTCTGCCTGAGCCGGTTTGAGTTGCACTTCCGTCACTCACAGTAAAAGACAATACAGGCACCTGCTGTGGGCCACCTCTTATGCTGGATGCTGGGGACAAAGATATTTAAGGTATAGCGCCCGACTTTGGGAGGCTCACAGCACGAGAAGCTTCGAGAAATACAGAGAAATAGATATGCGTGTCAGTTCCCTGGACTAGAATTACCAGGGCAGAAAGGCAGAGAACACAGTGGCAAAGCTTGCTCCACCTGGGGTGTAATAGTAGCTCAGTTAATCCCTACGTGGGCCTTCCCCTGCCCAGGAAATACCACCCCCTCACCCCAACCCACTGGGGCTGGCTTTTCCCCCTGTGCCAAGCCCAACCAGCCGCCCGGAGTGAGCGGCTGTTGATTTAAGGAACTGGGAAGGACACACACACACACACACCCTCAGACCAGCTTATATGTCGCATGCCCGGCTCTGCTCTGCAACCTGAATGCTTCCTTCAAAAGGGAAGGAAAGCTTTTTGATGAGGCCACCAACTTGGGGCCAGAGCTGGAACCTGAGCAGAGGTGGCCACGCTGGAGGGTCATGATCTAAAGTGCTGTGAGTCTGGAGCCGGGAGCGATCGATCCTAGGTGAGGGTGGGGGAGGGGAGGAAGCTGGGGTAGCCCCAAGCATTGTCCAAGAGCCATAAGGGGTGAGTGTGTGTATGTGGGGTCCTTAAGCCTCTAAAATCCATACAACGTTGTGTTTGTTTGTGGGTGCGTTTGCACTCTAGTCTGCATGGGCTAAACAGCCATAGTTTTAAACCGTAGTTTCAAAGGTATGCGTCACCTCCGAAATGTTAAGTCCCGCTGGTCTAGGGCATGGCCTTCCTTTTGTAGATGGGGAAACTGAGGCCCAGAGCCATCGTATAATTTGTTTTTAGGTGACACAGTCAATGTGTAGCAGAGGCTGGAAGAGAACCAGAGAACAGACTTGCCTGGCGGCGTAGCTGGGAGAGTTAGACAAGGGGGCAGGTAGAAATCCTCCCCAGCCCCAGCTTGGCCATCCGTAGACCTCAGCCTGGATGAGCCCTGGAGCCCCAGGCTGGGCCAGGCGCCCTCCCTCTGTGCCTGCTCCTGGCGTCACCCCGGGCTTTCCCGTGCCTGTACCCGTGCCTGTACGAATCTGTAGATTGAAGGGTTGGTGCAAACTCACAACTCCAGCTTGACTTACATAACGCCCCACTCAGACTCCTCCCCCGCCCCCAGTAAACCTGTTCCTCCCCCGGCTCCGGCTCACGTAAGGGCAGCTGCACCACGCCAGGTGCTCAGGGCAAAGCCCCGGAGGCATGTTTGTCTCCTTGCTCTCTCCCGAACCCACCCCTAAGCCACTCCATCAGGTAGTCTGGTCGGCTGGAACATTGTCCTTCAAAGTAGATCCAGAATCTGACCCCCTCGCCCTTGCCCGCCCTTCGGCCGCCCTAGTCTTCATCCGCCCTTGTGGCGCACGCAACTGGCAAGTCGCCTTCTGACTACTTCTCCCCGGCCTCCCCCTCCACCTGTTCCCCACCCAGGAGCCAGAGTCTCATTCTGTGGCCCAGTCTGGAGTGCCGTGGTGGGACCGTAGCTCACTGCAGCCTCAAACTCCTGAGCTCAAGCGATCCTCCTGCCTCAGCCTCCCAAGTAGCTGGGACTACAGGTGCGTACCACCATGCTCAGCTAATTTTTTTTTTATTAATTTTATTTTTCTGTAGAGGTGGGGTCTTGCTGTGTTGTCCAGGCCGGTCTCAAACTCCTGGCCTCAAGCAATACTCTCACCGTGGCCTCCTGAAGTGCTGGGGTTACAGGCTTGGGCCACCCCACCTGGCCCAGAGTGTTTTTTTTTCTAAAAACATAAGACAAGTCATGTCATACCCTGCCCAAGACTGTCCGCAGACTCCCCACCTCACTCAGAAGTTAAAAGCCAAAGCCTGCCAGGCCCACCATTCTCCCCGTCCCCAGCCTTTCAAGTCACATAGCCCTCTGTGGTGCCAAGCACATGCTCGCCCCAGGGCCTTTGCACCTGCTCCTCCCCCTGCCTGGAATATTCCTCCCCCATCTCCACATGGCTCCCTCCCCCACATCTGCTCAAAGGTCACCTTTTCCTATGGCTTTCCACGACCACTCCCTGGCCACTCACTCCTTCCCTCCACGTTTCATTTTCCTCCAGGGCGCTGTTAACATCTAGCATACGAACACACTGGCTTGTTTCTTTCCTTACTGGCTCTGTCCCCCACTGCAGCGTCAGTTCCAAAGGGGAGCGGCTTTGTCTGTTTTCCTCACTGCCGAATCCCCAGCGCCTAGAACAGTGCCTGGAACATAGCAGACAGCCAATAAACGTGTGTTGGGTGGAGGAATGGATGGACATATTGTTATATCCTGTCTGTCCGTCTTGGCCACAGAACTCTAAGCTGCTTGAAGGCTGGGACCGTGTTCTGCTCATCACCCTCTTCCCCGGGCTGGAGGTTAAGGGGTCACGCTGGGCTGGGCGCATCGAAGTGGAATGAATAAATGATCAACCTGTCCGTTTACGGATGAGGACATGGAGGCCCAGGTCCCTAGCAGCCACTTCCAAACCGAATCTCCGCTCTGCTCCTAAGAGTCTGCCTGTGGCGGACTATGGCCCCTCTGGAACCATCCACGCCCCCCGGCCAGAGCAAGCGGGAGAGCTGACCATGCCCTAACCCTGGGCAGCCCCGGGAAGCTGCGGGGAGGCTATTTGGCTTTTAAATGATCTCCTACTATCACTCTGGGCTTAGGCCCCAGATTTGGAGCCTGGTTCCCTGAGTCCCAGCCCCACTGCTCGCCTCCTGAACCTCAGTTTTGCCATCTATAAAATGGGAATGATGATAACATCACACACTCAGTCCGTTCACGCTTCCCTTAGGTGAATTCCAGCGAATCGGGAGCCTGGCCGGATGTGGTTTCGGGTTATAGCGCCTCATTTAGGTTTCTGGGCACCTGGACAGTCGGCGTGATTTTCTCAGGTGACATTGAGCATTCTCTGGAGAACAAAACTCCTTTCAAGGTCAGACACGCCTGGAGAGCCACTGGCGCAGCCCGGGAGAGGCAGAACCAACCGCTGGTCTTGGGGCGTTCAGCTCTCCCCAGCTTCCTGGCTGGAATTACACCCCTGGGGACCCTGCCAACCCAAAGGAGAGGCTGGTTTGGGTATAGAAGCGGGGCAGGGGATGGGGGCTGGGGGGGACACCAACAAAAAAACCATCCTCTCTCACTCAAGGAAGCAGCCAGGAGGACTGTCTAATCCCGGAGTAGAAAGCCCACGTGCAACTTGACCCTGACCTCCCTGCCAGGCTTATCTCTGCCCCTCCCCCTGCAGCGCACACTTGCGTTTTGTTCCCTGGAACCTTTGCGACAGCCCTTCCCACACCCCCTCCCCCCCCCCCCCCCCCCCCCGCTCCCATTTTCCAGAGAGGTGAGTGCTCCTGTTTTCTTATCTCATGCATCTGGGGAGGGACCACCGGGGCCTCTGTGCCTCTCTGTCCACCGCACCCCCAGCTCAGTGACTGAACCCAACACTGTCCTCTGTCCCCAAGGATTTATAATCTCCTCGTACAGAAGGAGAAACTGAGGCCCAGGGCAATGGGGCAGCTTGCGCCAGGTCCCACGACTGGGAGACGGGGTAGAGTGGTCGGTCACCCCCCAGCCAGGAATTCCTGCCCCAGCCGCAGTGCTGGCTTGGCTTGGCTTGCCAAAGTGAAACCCCAGGTTGTGACCCAGAGGCCTGGCAAGTCTGCGCAGGTGCCGCTGGCAAAGTTGGCAGGTCAGCTGCTTCTGACCCTGGGTGTCCTTGGGTAGGCCCACCCCTCCGGGCCGCCCTTGTGGCCATCAGTGACAGGGCTGGCCATTGGCAAAACACCTTCCAGCCTCAGCCATGTCATGCGACCACCTGTATTATTATTTAAGACTTGACTTGGAATTGACCTGCTTGTTTATTAAAATAAATTTTCATTGGAAAAACCAATATCACACCAAAAAACAGAGCAATAAATACAAGGATAATCAAACCATGCCCACAGATTCTCACTAGACTCTTGCTAAGGACTGAACATTTGTGTCCTCCCCCAAATTTACACGTTGACACCCTAACTCCATGGTGATGACGTCAGGAGGTGGGGCCCTTGGGATCTGCCCCTGGGGAACCCAAACTGCGACAGGTGGAACAGGTGTATGCATGACTACATGCATCAATCCTGGAAACGTGATGCTGAGCGCCAAGAGTAGGAAAGAGGATGCAACACATAAAATAATACCATTTACACACACGAAAGAAAAAAAACCGCATGCATATTGTACAATACCGATTTTGCAAAAATACCTCCAAACAAACGGACACGCATCAAATAATTAAAAGTGTTGCCGACTGGGAGGCGTTAGGTGACAGGCAGCGTGGCTGCTAGAAACAGCATGGGGTGTGAATTAAATAAAGGCACCCCCTCTGGGTAGAAGCAGCCCTTTGGGACAGTGAAGTCTTGATGGGCAGAGAGAATGAATGAATGAACCAATGGATGGATGGATGGAATGTGAGAGGGGCTGGCAGGGACCAGTGATGATGACGGGCCATGCAGAAGGTGGAGGTCTGTCCCAAGGTCTATAAACACGCACGTTTGTTCTAGGATTTATCCCCCTGCCACCCCACTGCATCGCCAGGCTCAAGGGGGGGCTGATGGCGTGGGGTCTGGCCATAGCACCAGGCCTCTGGGCTGGGGCAGGGGGACCTGCCAGCCCCTGCTTCTCTCCTCGTCCTGGCGACTCCATCACTAATCTTGCCGGTTGACCCCTAGGGCAGCGACGGTCCCAATGGTGGGCAGCGTGTGGGCAGCTCTGGGGCTGTCCCTCACCTGCATCTCGGCCCTCAGCCTCATCTCCCCTGCCTGGTTCCAGACCCCCACCTTCTCCTTCGGCGTCCTCACCTACTGCTCCTGGCCTCAGGGTGACAGCTGGAACCAGAGCTGTGTGACCTTCAGGTCCCTGGAGGATATTCCTGACTCCGCCTGGAAGGTGAGACCTGGGCTCCCCGATTCACTGGGTCCTCTGGGGCACAGCCAAGCCCTTCAGGGCAGGGACGCCGGCTGAATGGGATTTGCTGCCTGGGTGAGCCTGTGAATCCACCACTGGTCTCCCCTTTGAACAAAGCACAGAGGTTCTTTTTGTTAAGTTATTTCGTTTATTTAATGTGTCAAAGAAACTTAAAGATAGGCGTGTGCATACATATAAGCTATGTATCTCAGAATTCAGAACTATGCAAAGAATTTTTCAGTATGACCACAAAATGAAATATTTACACACTTTAGTGTAGCACTTAATACTTACTTTTGAAATCTACTGCTGATGCTACTTCTAAAGAGCAAGGACCCAACCAACCAGAAAAATAGTAAAGGTGGCCTTTTCTTTTTTTTTAAGTGCTTATTAGCCTTATATTAAAAAACAATGGTTTTTACAAATACATAATATTGAAAGGTGCTCAAAAAGTCACTACTTACAGAATCGAACATGTCATTTTCCAACTTTGCACATGTAAACTGGTTTTATCTGCATTAATGAAGGCTGTTTTCAAAGGCTGTCAAACATATGCTTCAAATCAAGACAAGCACAGAGGTTCTTAAACTTGACAGCCCTTGAGAAACACCTGTGGAACTTTGCAAAAATGCCAAGTTTCTGGGCTCCACCTGGAGCCTCTGACTCTAGGGGCGGGGTGGGGTCTGGCAACCTGTGTTTTAGCAAACACCCAGGATGATTCCAAAGGGTGATTCCCTATAGCACCTCTGCACGCATTAGGAAACAGCCCCCCTTCTTCAGGACACTGTACTGCCATCTGCTGGACAATCGCTGTAATCAGTATGCAAATCTATGAAGCCAAATGCATCTCCTAGAGTTGGGCAGTGTACAACCTGCACACTCGTACCTGGCCACCCTCTAAGCACTACTAGGTTTAAAAATGAAAGCCAAGGTGTTCAAGTTCCTGTTAGGATGGATATTTCCAAGAGCAGCAATGAGGAGAAGGGGTGAGCTATCCTAGCCCAGCATCTCTAAGGAAGAATATACAGCCTTCAAGACTGATCGTTGCAAAGGTGATGTAACAGCACCTACCAGGTCCCCTTCTTGGTGATCCTGACGTGTAGCAAGGACTTAATAAAGTTATGGCATGGTGGCCAACCTGGATTTTAATTCTGGCTCTACCATTTAGCTAGCTGTGTGTCCTTAGGCAAATGACTCCCATTTCATGGGCCGCTGTTTGTTTATATGTAAAATAGAGGTAATAATAGCACAGACCTCATGGGGCTGTTGTGAGGACGCTGGCATGTCATAAGCAGAGGCGGCACCCACCTGCCCCCGTCCCAGCCAGCACCCTTCCTCTCTCCTCTTCCCGGCAGGTCTCAGCCGTGATGCTTCTCGGAGGCTGGCTCCTGTTGGCCCTCAATGCAATTCTCCTCCTGTCCTGGGCCGTGGCCCCCAAAGGGCTGTGCCCAAGGAGGGGCAGAGGCCCAATGCCAGGGGTGCAGGCAGCGGCAGGTAAATCCACTGGCACATTGTTAAGTGCTATAGACAGATTTATGGAATGAACGAATGAACGAATGAATGAATGAATGAGCCTGTGAACAGAGCCAGGCCTCTTGGGTCAGATCTCAGAGATAAACCCTAGGGTTGTCCACTATCATGGTCCTTTAGCAAGCCAGAAATTGGGGGCAGGGAGAGATGGCATCCTTAATGCCACCTTACCCAACTCAGTCCTAATAATCTGTCCCACTTGGTTTCTGTCTTATCCACCCACTTTGTGTCATCTTTACCAGGGCCAGCATGGTTGGGCAGGCAGGTTGTGCACCGCACAAAGGTGTGCAGCTGAGGGTGGGAAGATGCTCACATCTAGCCCATGCTCTGCTTACTGAACGGCGAACCTGCAAGGTTGCACGTGCCGAGGAGGATTGCTTTTCTCTAACGCACACATAGCCTTCGGAGCCAGCAGCCTAGGTCTTGATTGTAACCCTCGTTCAGTTAATTCTTCACCGTCTCTCCCCTGGATTACAGCAACAATCCACACGGGTCTCCCTGCTGCCACCCTTGCCCCCTAGCGTCTATCTGCCACACACAGAACTAACAGGGCCTGTCGAAACTGAACTCAGACCCTGCCACTCAGGCCGGCTTATCTACCCCTGATGGCTTCTTGTCACCCTCAGAGTAAAATGCAAGCTCCTCTCCCTGGCCTATGAGGCTCCACCTCATTCCCTCTTCATCCTCAGCTCTTGCCCGCTCTGCCAGGCTCAAGGTGCCCCGGCCACCCTGGCTTGCTCTCTGTTGCTCAGATACACCACGCTTGCTCCCTCTGCCTGGAATTCACTTTCCCCAGATCTTGCATGTCTAGTTCCCCGCTTCATTAAGGGCTCTGCTGAGACATCACTGCCTCCATGGGGGCTCCCCTCTCCGTAGGTCCTGCATCCTTAGGCACACACCACAGGCGCCCAGTAGGCATCTGCTGATCCATAGGTGAAGATGCGCTCCTCGCCCTAGGCGTGCTTGCACAGTGTCCACTTGGCGGGGGTTGGGGAGGTCAGAGAGTTGTAACTCGATGGATATCTGACACCACGTGGATGGGCACAGGAGGCTAGGAAAAACTCTGGGGGGCGCCCGACCAAGTGCGTGCAGGGTGTTAAGGCAAGCTTCCTGCAGAAGGTACCACCTGAGCTGAGTCTGGAAGGATGACTAGAAGTTGGCCAAGGGGGATAGGGGCATTTCAGGTGATGGCAAGTTCAGGGGCCAAGGCGTGGAGACAAGACAGCAAGGCATGCACGGGGAACAGAAAGCGGCCCTGTGTGGCTGGAGACAGCCAGGGAGGCTAGGAGTCGTGTGACTCCTCTGCACCACCAGGAGTGCCTTGGAGGCCAGGAGGTGTCTGGTTCACTTCATTAGTGCCATCAGCACCCACCACGCCACCTCGGACAGTTCTGATGGGTGAACGCATGCATGGATGGGTAGGTGGGTTTGTAAGTGAATGGATGAACTGATGCACAGATAGGTATTTTAGCAGATGGATGAACGGGTGGCTGGGGAAGATGGGTAGATTGGAATCTGGTTGGACGGGTGGAGGATGAGGGGTGATGGATGAGTGGGTGGGTGGATGGGCGGGGGTCAGTTGGCTAAGGAGGCAGATGGATAGATGGATGAGTGAATGGATAGGTGGGTAGAAGATGGAAAGAATAAGTAGGTAAGAATATGGCTGAATGGATAGATAAGTGGGTGAACACATGGGTGGAAGGGTAGTTGCATGAGCAGGTGGATAAAAGGAGGATAAGGCACTAAATAAATGCATGAATGGACGGCTGGGTGGGTGGATAGCAGGGTGGACAAGTGAGTCTGGGATGGAAGCTTCACCCAACACCCCTTCACTGGCCACACACTGGCTTTCCTGCCCACCGTCTCCAGCCTCTGCCACCATCCTGGGCCTGCTGGTCTTCCCAATCAGCCTGGCCTCCCCATTCGCCAGGGACGTCTGTGAAGCCTCCTCCGAGTACCGCGGTGGGAGGTGCCGGCTGGGCTGGGGCTACGTGACCGCCATCTTCAGCGCGGTGCTGGCCGCCCTCCTGCCTGTGATCAGCCGGCCCCGCGTGACCAACGTCCAGGGGGCGACCATCCTGTTCTCCAGCGACACTGAGAAAATCATCCTGGTGCCAGAAATGCACAAGTAAAAAAAAAGTCTCCTGGGAGGAGCAGAAAGAGTGCAATCCAGTGTCGTCCGAAAGCGCCAGGTACCCAGTGTCAGGTCGCACCTGGGCTGCTTCCTTGCGCTGAGATCTCAGGCAAGACGCTTCACCCCGCCAGACCCCAGTTTTTTTTTTTTCCTTCTGTAAAATGGGAGTTGAAACAATGCCCACCTCATGAGGCTGTTCCGGGAACTAACTTGAGATTCTCTGTATAAATAAAGCACTTCGCACCGTGTCTGGCACACGGAGCTCAATAAATGTTAGCTGCTATTAATACCGTCCCCCCCTCACAGAGCTGTGGTGGGAGTGACGTGTATTTATGAAAGGTGCCCAGGGCGATTCTGGGTATGTGCTTGTCACTCAAATGCGAAATCTTTTAATGGGCATGTGCACATTCTCTTCTTCTTCTTTTCCCTTTTATAATTCCTCCTTTCTTGGATGATTTGAAAATCATTCATTTCCCCATCAAGTATTTAGTGGTGCCTATTATTTACAAGATGTTGTGCCAGCGTTGGGGTGCGGGAGGGTGGGGGGGAGCGAAGGACCTGTCTCACCCCTCCGTGCAAATGCAAGCAGTCCCGCTGAGGGTGTGTGCAGCTGAGGGTGGGAAGATGCTCACATCTAGCCCATGCTCTGCTTACTGAACGGCGAACCTGCAAGGCTGCACGTGCCGAGGAGGACTGCTTTTCTCTAACCCACACATAGCCTTCGGAGCCAGCAGCCTAGGTCTTGATTGCAACCCTCGTTCAGTTAATTCTTCACCGTCTCTCCCCTGGGTTACAGCAACAATCCACACGGGGCTCCCTGCTGCCACCCTTGCCCCCTAGCGTCTATCTGCCACACACAGAACTAACAGGGCCTGTCGAAACTGAACTCAGACCCTGCCACTCGGACCGGCTTATCTACCCCTGATGGCTTCTTGTCACCCTCAGAGTAAAATGCAAGCTCCTCTCCCTGGCCTATGAGGCTCCACCTCATTCCCTCTTCATCCTCAGCTCTTGCCCGCTCTGCCAGGCTCAAGGTGCCCCGGCCACCCTGGCTTGCTCTCTGTTGCTCAGATACACCAGGCTTGCTCCCTCCCTGGAAAGTTCACGGTTAGTTGGGGCACACGATGCTCTGTACAGCCCAGTTCCAGCCACTCCCTCCAGCCTTTAGGGCTTGTCATCCACCCAATCCCAGTGCCACTCCCTCCGGCCACAGTGAACTTCCGAGCCCACGGGAGGCCTCTCCCCACCTCCGTACTCGGCACGTGCTGCTTTCTCTGCCAGGGATGCTGGGATCCACCTGTTGGTTTCTCTTGTCCTGACCCATTGCCCTTCTTGGGAAGCAGTGCCCTGGCCTTCCCTTGGGGCTATTCCCGGGCCACTCCGGGCTTTGAGGTGGACAGATGAGCCCTTCTGGAAAATCAGTCCTGGTCAGAATGATTGATTCATGGGCGCTGTGCAAGCCAGCGGGCCAGCATGGGCGGGAGCAGAACGGTGGGACGGACAGAGGTGGAGGTCTAAGGACTTCATCTGAACACCTGGATCCAGCCATTCTTGACCGCTTCTTGCAGGAGACATGGTCACGGGCAGCTCCAGGCTGGCGTCCCCTAGCCTGGCTGCCCCAGAGGAAAGAGTGAACTTCCCCTTCCTCTCTTGGTATATATAAATCCCAGGGAAGGAATCTGATCGGCCAGCACTGGGTCACATACCCACCCTTGGGCAAGGAGGGGCATGTCAGCAATCCCACTAGAAGGCCATAGCTATAGTGGAGAAGATATAGTTCCCTACATCCGGGAAAAGGTGCTTGTTAGCACCAGAACGGGGAAAGGATGATAAGCAGGCAGAAACATTCAATGGCCAGCAGCTCTCTCCTTAAGAGAGGCTTTAGTATCCCCATTTCACAGAAGTGAAAATTGAGGCTCAGAGAGATAAAGTCACTTGCCCAAGGCCACAGAGCTAATCAGTGGCAGAGCTGGGTTTGAACTGAGAACTGTGAGACTCTATGGTAGATGCGAAATAACACCTAGATTTGCTCCCGCTGCCCCCACCCACCTGGCTCATCTTGATCAAACTCTTTTGGCTTCAGATGATCAGCCAAGAATATTGTGAACTGAAATAAAATCTTAAATCTTAAGCAGCCCCTGGCTGATTGAATGGATGGGGACCCCAGAAATAGCCTAACACTGAGTTCCGGCCATGAGAAGAGAGGCCAGACATGCTTTCTCATTCCTCCTTCTTGGAGAGATCCTTCATAACTCATCAATAAGACTAAGGCTATGGAGGGTGGGGTTCGAACCACACTTGCAAGTCCTCAATTTACTGAACAGATCACTTGAGTCTGAGTATAAGTCCAGTGGCTTGTCTTTGATTAGGAGACTCACCTCTCTTAACCTAAAACATTCCAAGCCTTTAGACAAAGCTTCATTTCTTTAACCAATTAAAAAATCAAAATATCTCTAAAACCCACCTATAACCTGAAACAACCCCCCCTCCCACCACGCTTCAAGATGGTCCACCTTTTCGAGCCAAACCAATGTACACCTTCCATGTATTGATTTATGACTTTACATGTAATCCCATGTAATCTCCCTAGAATGTATAAAACCAAACTGTAACCCAACCAGAGCGAGTCCACTTGCTCATGGCTTCTTAGGCGTGGCTCCTGGCCATGGTCCCCACACTTGGCTCAGAATTAACCTCTTTAAAACTATTTCACAGAGTTTGGGTTCTTTTCCATTGACAATATCCATAAACAACCCCCAGGAGTGCCTCTATTATTCCAAAGACACATAGATCACAGAGAACACACCTGGTATTTATCTTTCAGAAAGAATAATAAGAACGATGTTAGAGCTTTTGTGCAAAGTAATAGGATAATTGAATGAAGTAATAGGAAATCCAGGAAGCCACTACAGGATGTTCGAATGGATTCAAAACCCAGCGGTTCGTTTCAAGTGACACCAGAAGCACTTCAAGGCAAACCAGTCTGATGAGGGAATGTTCCTTGAGCCCTAGGCAGATTCCAGTACCAAGAGCAGCAAGTAGGAGCTGCCGGGTAGGAGCCCAAGCCTATGTGCCATCCATTGGCGCCTGGGATGTGCTGCTTCCTCTCTTGCAATCACCTCCTAATGGCCCCCGAGTTCCATAATTTTCTGTTAGAACTGTTTCAGCAACACCAAAGGGGGTGATTCTCTAGCCCATAAAGCAAAACCATCCACAGAAAGACTCTGCCTTTATTTGGTAATAGACAGAGGGGTCTCTCTGTTATTTTCTCTTCATCAAAATTAAGAGGCATGCACTGTTCCCAAGGAGCCTGGTACCTGCAAAGTCTGGGAATCGGCATGCACGGATATGAAGACAGAAAGCCGGGGAGACACCGGAGGGTTCCTCTGCTGCCCCCTGGTGTCACGGAACATCTCCAGGGGACTGCATGCTCCTGTTGGGTGCTCGAGTTCTGCTAGGTTGACCGGCAGAAATGGATTGTCAAGTTGGCACTTCAAAAAAGGTCAAATTGTGTTCCTCTGGAGTCTATATCTGACCTGGGTGCAAGTTCTTAATGTGCCCAGTGGCTTAAAAGCCAAAAAGAAAAAGAGAGAGAGAGAGAGACAGACAGACAGACAGACAGACAGACAGACCTGGGCCATTTCCTGACTCAGCAGAATCAGGTGCAAACTGCAGAGTCACGGTGGATGCCCCTGCCAAGAACTGACGGCCTCACACACCTGACTCCAGGGCTTCCCCAAGACATAGCCTTACAGGCCTCGGGGCTCACCCCTTCCTGAGTTCTCTGCCCGGGGCCACGTTCTCTTAAGTTTCAAAAACTCATCTGAGAACCTGAGATGGGAACTCTGGGAAAATGGGTTCCCAACCCCATCCCCAGTGATGCTGGCAGGCAGAGGGTTCACTTAAAAGAGGGGGACTCAGAACTGAGTCCAGAACCAAGGGGGGGGGCATTATCATTCCCATTTCACAGAAGTGAAAACTAAGGCTCAGAGAAGTCAAGTCACTTGCCCAAGGCCACACAGCCATAAGCAGCAGATTTAGAATCCTAAATCTTGGCTCACCAAATATGTGGACGGAGACATGGGACATGATTTTAGTTGGTACATTTAGTTAGCCATTCCTGTTTTAATTCTCCTTTAAGTCTTCCAAGTAGAAAGGCTCCCTTGGCTAACAGGTCTAATACCTGTCAAAATTAAGAGTATCTGATGAGAAGAATCTAAATCTCATATTGATAAGTATATTATAATATATTAGAATATACTGATTTTTTTTTTCCAGAACATATTTTCGCTCTGTATATGAACACACTGATTTGAAATGTAAAGAAAACTCCGGGCCAGGTGCAGTGGCTCGCACTTGTAATCCCAGCACTTTGGAAGGCCCAGGTGGGAGGACTGCTTGAGGCCACGAATTTGAGACCAGCCTGGGTAACGTAGCAAGACCCCACCTCTGCAAAGAGATAAGAAAAATTAGCTGGGGGTGGTTGCCCGCTCACCTGTAGTCCCAGCTACTTGGGAGGCTGAGGCAGGAGGATCGCTTGAGCCAGCGGACAACTTGGAGAGAAGGAGAAAAGGTAAGAAAGAAAATGGGTTACCGCGGCTCCCAGCCATTCTGCAATGGAAAGTGAGAGCCCCCCTAACTCTGTGCAGAAGTGCTTCTCACCTGCCCCGTGGCCTCTCCTGCAAGCCAAATGGAAGGCTCTTAGGTGAGAAGAAAATAGAGGATGATTTATGTGGAGAAGGGTGGGGCAACCGGAAGGGCCTTCCCACTGCAGCCTCGCTCTGAATGAGACCTGCGTAATTCAGGTAGGAAACGTGGGCACAGGTACTATCCAAGGTCCTAGTATTAATCATGCAAGGAGGAGCGGGGGAGGAGAGGAATAAATAGTAAAGCAAAGAGAAAGAGGTGGAGGAAAGGGGGCTGGAGAGGAGAAGGAAGAGCAGGGCGAGTGCAGGAGGCGGCGGCCACGATGCCAACTTCACGCATGCGCGGGACCGAGACCGCTTCCCCTCCCCCACTGAGTCTCGGAAACGTGCCCTGGGATCCCAGACTTACCTTTTCACATCTAGGCAAAGTTCAAGTGCATGTGTTTAGGAAAGCCTTGCCAAAAGCAAAAAATGTTCTCTTGGGATGCCCCGCCCCCCCAAGATACATTGCCGATGACAAGAGGCCAGCAGTGCACGTTAACAGGCATTTGTGGCTGCATGATGGGCACCCTGGTGCGCCCCAGGCCTGGCAGTGCCAGGCAGCTGCAAGCGAGAGCGCAGCCCTTCAGGGGGAGGGCCAGGTGGGCCAGGTTAAGGTTGGAGCCAGAGAAATGAGACGGTGACCTCGAAGGACAGTCGTGCGTGGAGCATGGGGACCAGACTTTGCTCCTGCTTCTCGGGAAGTGGCAGCAGCCCTTCCAACCAGCACAGCCCCCAGCTGGGCTCCCGAGAGGACGGACCCCACCCGCCTGCCTCTTTCTGTGAGTGGCGGCACACTCGCCTCCGCTGGGAATCCTCCGAGGGAGTGGTGACGGGGCACGCCCAGCGACCCGGTGCCATCTGCAAACTCCTCCACGTCGTGGGCTTCACTTGGAAACCTAACTTCTTCTATACGAAACCTTAAGTTTCGATGGGCATTCGTTAGATCAAATCAAGCTTTGCTTCTGGAGTGGGAAACCGGAAGTTTCCCTCGGGCCATGTTTAGAAGCTGCTGGGGGTGCAGACCCATGCAAGGTCCCCATTGCCTGATGACTGAGGTCCTGAACGCCAGCCACAAGCAAGGACCAGAGAAGTCCAGGAGATGGGCGTGTGGTATGTGGGGACGTCAGAGCTGGGAGGTGAGCGAGCTCAGCGGTCAGGATGCAGAGGCGTGTCAGCATACAGGGATGCTCCCATGTCCCACGCCTGACCGGCTGGCCCCCGGTGATGCACCAGACCTTGGGGGTGTGCCAGACAGCTTGCAAAAAAATGGCCTCCATGATTTCCCTGCCTGTACCCATGTTCCTTTCTAGTGTCATGTTTCAAAGCCTCCTATCAGGAAGTGGAGTCTATTTCCCCACCCCTAAATCCAGGCTCAGTCATGTGACTTAACACTGACCAGCAGAATGTGGCGGTAGTGACTTTATGCCAGCCAGGCTGAGGCCTTAGGAGGAGTGCCTGCTTCTGCTTGCTTTCGTGGAACCTGCCATCACAGCCGGCCGCGTCAAGAAGCCAGAGCTAGCCTGGGGGAGAGTGGGGGACACCTGCCCCGGTTTCCTCCATCGCCCCAGCCAACAGCCGTCAGAAGTGGAGCTGCCTCTCTGGCCATCAGCTGACCACAGACGCATGAAGAAGTCAGGCTGAGACCAGAAGAACCTCCCGGCTGAACCCAACCCAGCCTGTTGATCTTCAGAATCATGAGCTAAACAAATGGCTACTCTAAACCACTGCGTGTTGGGTGATTTGTTATGCAGCATCACTCATGGTAACAGCTAACTGATACCAGGGGTAAGGAGTGAGTCACCTTTCTGGGGAAAGGCCAGGCAACTTGTCGAGACAGTCTGAGCCCATCTGGGGTCACTAAGGTGAAAGCTTGAGTACAATTCAGAAGCAAACATTTCTTTCTTCCCAATTAAAAAAAAACAAACAAAAAAACCCCATAGATTCACATATTTCTCTGTTTAGATATATTTTCTCTGCATATAGACACAACTCTTCGGTAAACATTTACAAGTTATGTGGGCCACACTGATAAAAAGAGGGCACTGCATACACAGAACGACTCCCACACACCCAATTCCACGACACACATGCACAGCGTACAGAGACCTGGATAAGCACAGTAGACAAAATAAATATGAGTCATTCCAAACCACAACCACAGATGCTCTCCAGAACACCACAAGAGAAGGCAGAGAAGAGATCTTGTGCTGTACTTTAAAAGACTAGTCTGTTAAAAAAATAAACAGGAATCCGAAGGTCTGAGACTTGGGTCTTGCTAAAATAACATCCTCTGTAGGGAACAGCTGAGTGGCAAAATAAGACTTTTTTTTTTTTTTTTTTGAGACAGAGTCTCGCTTTGTTGTCCAGGCTAGAGTGAGTGCCGTGGCGTCAGCCTAGCTCACAGCAACCTCAAACTCCTGGGCTCGAGTGATCCTTCTGCCTCAGCCTCCCGAGTAGCTGGGACTACAGGCATGCGCCACCATGCCCGGCTAATTTTTTATATATATATCAGTTGGCCAATTAATTTGTTTCTATTTATAGTAGAGACGGGGTCTCGCTCTTGCTCAGGCTGGTTTTGAACTCCTGACCTTGAGCAATACGCCCGCCTCGGCCTCCCAAGAGCTAGGATTACAGGCGTGAGCCACAACGCCCGGCCCAAAATAAGACTTTTATCCTGCATGTCTCTTCCCATCTTGGGAAGCTGGGGGGCCAGGGTGGGGGCCACCCAACCCTAATGGCAGCCAGAGTGTTGACGGTGTCCCTTTCTGCCTTCTGGCTTGTTCGGGGTGGGAGGACTAGCGTGCCCCTGCCCCCCTGCAAACACTTCAACTTGCTGCTTTCCCTGTCTCCTCCCCTCTCCACCAGCCTCTACCCTGGCCGACCTCCTCCGCCTCCTCCTTTGTCCTGAGTAAGCAAAGGTGCTCAGAGAAAAGCCGGCCTCCCTGATCAAGGGGCTTTTGCCAAACCTACACCTGTCCAAGACCCCATATGTGGAAGAAGAGGCGAGGTCCTCCCTTGGGAGAAGGCAGCAGGGCACGGGCTCTGTCCTGCCCTCCTTGGGCAGGACCCCAATGAGCCTCGGACTAGCCCATGCCTGGCAGACACTTCTCTGGTTCCCTCACCGGCATAGGAAGATGCATTTCTTGAAAAGAAGAGAGGAAGTATCTCCTAGCATCAGACAAAGAGAACAAAGGAGAAAACACAACAAAAGGAATCCTGGCCCCCAAGGGAGACTGGGAAGGACCCCTGTGTGCGTTTGCTAACGGGGGAGGTCTCAGGACACGGGGAGGGGGACCGGAGGGGGTGTAGTACAAAGACAGCAGGGAGGGAGGCACATTGTGGCCCTCCACCAGGCCAGGGGTTCTCAAATGGGGGCACTGTGCCCTGCAGGGGACATCTGGCAATGTCTGGAGACATTTGTTTTTTGTCACAACCAGGGATGGGGACAGGGATGGCGCTACTGGCATCATGCGGGTGGAGGCCCGGGATGCCGCTCAACAGCCTAGAGCGCACGGGACAGTCCCCTGGGAAAGAATCGCCCGGCCCCAAATGTCACTGCTGCTGAGGGGCAGAGACCCTGCTCTGAGCCAACCCTCCAGCGTGTTCTAGAACTTCTCCAAAGGCCTTTTCAGCGCACAGAGGTGGCCCCCTAACCTCTTCTACACCAATTTCCAAAAAAAAAAAAAAAAGAAAGAAAGAAAGAAAATCCCTCCCAAAGTCTCATCTGACGAGACAGTTTGGAAGGATCGAGAAGGAAGAGGAGACCACCCCGGAGACCAGGAACGAAGATGGTTCTTCCAACTAATGGCAACTGCCAGCTCCCGCCAGGGGGAAAGGCCAGACACGGGTGGGCGATCTTTGGTCAAACAGGAGAACGTAAGGCTGGACTGAAGGGGCGCCCCTCCATCCCACCCGCCCCGCGGCCAAAGTCGGGACAGTTGCTCTGCGCGCAGAAATCCAAGCTCTCGAGCAGACACGGGACCCCGGTCCTGGGCGGCCCTCCGGCCGGGAAGAGAAGCGGGCAGGAGGACAGGCAGGGGGTGGCTCGCCGACGCCGCCTGGGCCAGGTGCCCGTCACTTGTTCTCGATCAGCGTCTGCACCTTGTACACCAGGTCCCGGGCCAGCTTCAGGACTTGCTTGGTGTTGTGTCGCTCGGCCATTTCTGAAAGAGGAGAAGGCGCGGTCACAGGAGCCTCGCTCTGTGCGGGGCCTCGGGACACACTTCCAGCCCCCGGGAGGGCCTCTGCAGGCGGGGACTCTGGGGGAGGCCTGCACCTCTAGACCTCAGTTTCCTCGTCTGTAAAATGGGGGACTGTCACCGTAGCCACCTCACGAGGTTACTGGGGAGATCAAATGGGATGAGGCTGGATCGCCGCAGCATGTGCTAAAAAGACGAGAAGTCGCTCCGCCCCTCTCCTCCGAGCGGAGCGAGTGAAAGCAAGGCAGCTGCGTGTGTGTGTGTGTGTGTGCGTGGCAGCTGCGCAAATACATGCAAAGGAAGAAGCAACGGAAGGAGGAGAGGGAAGGGCCAAGAAAAGCAAGGATAGCCGGGCGTGGTGGCTCACGCCTGTAATCCTAGCACTTTGGGAGGCCGAGGCGGGCGGATTGCTCAAGGTCAGGAGTTCGAAACCAGCCTGAGCGAGACCCCGTCTCTACCAAAAATAGAAACAAATTAATTGACCAACTAAAAATATATATACAAAAAATCAGCCAGGCATGGTGGCGCATGCCTGTAGTCCCAGCTACTCTGGAGGCTGAGGCAGGAGGATCGCTGAGCCCAGGAGTTTGAGGTTGCTGTGAGCTAGGCTGACGCCACGGCACTCACTCTAGCCTGGGCAACAAAGTGAGACTCTGTCTCAAACAAAACAAAACAAAACAAAACAAACAAAAAAAAAAAAAAGAAGAAGAAAAAGCAAGGATAATCATTTTATCAAGAGCCACACAAAATGACCAGACCCATAAACTAGAATAATTCTAAATTTGGACATTTATCATAAAGAAACCGTTTTGTAGCAGGAAAACAAAACACTAAGATCACAGTTCCCAAACTGGGTGCCGAGGTACCTTAGAGTGCCGCCGTGAACTCACAGTGGCACCGGGGAATATTTAGGAACTCTGGGGGAGACACGGCAATCCATACTCCACATCTTACTGAGCACCACATCAACTGCCAGGTGGCGTGAGTTCATAAATCGCCCGACATTCCTATCCATTGCTTTGTACCTCTGCAAAGCTAGATTTTCAGCAGTTGTTAGGACAAAAAAAAAAAAAAAAGCAAAAACCACATGAAAATCACTGTGGAACAGAAAACGAAGGTGGGAGTGTTCAATCTGATTCCAAGACTTGAGAAGCTGTGCACGGCCTAACTGGTGCACACATCCCATTAGTAAGTAATTATACTTACTTAAGAGTGAAATAAAAATGTTATTTTCTTTCAATTCGTGTGCATTATGCATTCAAACAGTGATTGAGTTGTTAGGACATAAATACTTTTCAAGGGGTTTGGACCTAACCAAGTCTTTACTAAATGCAACTTTTGGCCTTGAGTGCCGTGAACATTTTAGAGAGACACTAAGGGTGCCCAGAATTGAGAAAGTTGGGGGCCTCTACACTGAGATATGAATGGCCCCTCCGACTGAAAACAACCTAGATGCCAATGGGCAGGGATGGCTCTGTAAGTTATGGGAAGGTCACTCGAAGTATATTCTGCAGTCTTAAAAAAGTTACTATATGGAAGACAATTTTTGAAATAGTAAGCAGAGAAAAAAAAAAAAAAGCAACACACAGCCGGTGAAATAAAAACCCTCCTACTACTTCAAAAGTGAGATCACAGGTGGGCTTTTTCTTCTTTTGGTTTTTCCAGAACCTTCTTTTAAGTGTTTGATTTTAAATAGTGATAACAATAGCAACAGCTTTCATTTACTGGGGCCCTCCTACGAGCCAGGAACCACGTGACGTGACACAACTTATCCATGCCATCTCGCTTAATCCTTGGGGCGTCCCCGGGAGGGAGGGGGTGTTGGCACCATTTTATCTCCGAAGAATGAAAGGCCCAGAGATGTGAAGTCACTGGGACAAGGTCACACAGCTCCCGAGGGGCAGAGCTGGGGTCAGAATCCACATCTGCCTGGTTTCGAAGGCTGTGCGTCTCTCGTGCTACCGCAGTTGCTTTTCTGTGCCCACTTTCCCTACACGTGCCAACCCTCCGAAACGGAGCCCGCTGCCCCACGCCACAGACGAGGAAGCAGGTGTTCCGAGAGTGGGAAGAGGCTTGTCCCCTGGCGCGGCTTGTCCGTGGCAAAGCCAGGCTTTGCCCACGAGCCGATTTCTACACCCATGCTCCCTCGGCCGGAGCCCCGAGTATACGCACCCTCGCCGTTACAAAATGTCAACGTACCCTTTTCAGAATAGCCCCAGGAAGTGGGGAGAACCCTCTTCACCCCCTACACCGGGAATCAATTCCAGCAAATTTCCATCCCTCCTGAGCCCCCAGGAAGGGGCCCTCCCGAGGCCCGCACCCCCCAAGAAGAGGCCCTGGGCATGCGGGTACCGTTGAAGAATTTGATGATGTCTGTGAAATCCATGTTGTTCTCCAAAATGATGTCGCGGTAGACTTCCACCAGAGCCAGCGCGATGAACAGGACGTAGTGGGCGGAGGAGACGTGTTTGGCGGCCCAGATGGTCTCCCAGACGGAGAAGACATCATCATAAACGAGTTCTACCGAGACACCAATACACGCACACACACACACACACACACAGGCACACACACACAGGCACACACGCATGGGGAGAGAGTCAGCGACAAGTGCATGGTGCCGCCCTCCCTTGTGAAAGTCCCTCTGGGAAAATCCCGGGTGCTTCTGCGCTGGTGCATCCGCCAGAACTCAGGCCAGGAGACAGGAGACCTGGACTCTGTCATTGGACCTTTCAAAGCCTCAGTTTTCCCCATCTGTAGAATGGGCTATGCAAACCAGGTGGGTTCTAAGTTCCTTCTCCCTCTGACATTCTGTGAGTGGAGGAACTGGGCATGTGTGGGTTTGGTTTATGCAGACCTGTCCCTGCCCTGCCCTTTGACCAGCGTCCACCCCTATCCCTACACCTCCATCTCCATTAGCATCTATGGAGGTATCTCCCCCCCAACCTCCCCATAGACAGGCAGAGCCGGGGCTGCCTCTGACTCTAGTGAAGAGACAGATTAGAGCAGTGGTTAAACGCAAGGCTTCCTATATCCAACAAGCCCGGTGTGAGTCCTTCCCCATCACTCACTGGCAAGGGGACCCTGGGCTTGCTACTTCTCCACGAGCCCCTTTCTTTCCTCGTCTGTAAGGTGTGTGAAGCGGATAGTGTAAGAGACAAGACATATCAATGGGTCGACACAGTGTGCGGCACTTAATAAGCACCCCCATATAGATTAGATATTATTAAAATTATTATTAGCATCCCCCAAATTTGCACACCGGCAACGATGCACTGTGTCTCACAGCACTTCTAAGTCGCGTGTGAAATGTCTACGAAATAACCCCTGCTCCGTGGGCTTTAGAGCTCTCGGTCTCTGCTAAGCAGCACAACAGAACGGGGAGGGAACTAGACTTCGGCGGTAGGTAGAGGCGGGTTCGGATCCTGGCTCTCCCCGTCCTAGCTCTGAATTTAATTCTTCCCAGCCGTGGTTTCCTCATCAGGAAAACTGGGATCTTAACAGCACCTGCCTCGGAGTGGTGTTGCAAGACAAGGGGGGTGAACAGACAGACTCGGCTGCCTTTGCCCCAGTGCCCCCCCAGGCCTCCCCTTCATGGCACCTTTTCCCCTCGGGTTCTGTTACAAACAGCCTGCAAAGCGGCTCCCAGTTTCAAGTCCGTACCTCGCTTGAAATCCAGCAGGAACCAACGGTAGCAGAAGTAGAAGTGCGTGTAGTCCCCGTTCTGATGCATCAGCTCGAACAGCTCCGAGTCCAGGATCTGCGGAGCAAGGGAAGGGCGGAGCAGAGGGGAGAGCTGGGCTGACAGCCGTGCGTCCACTTGCCAAACACCATGCAGCCCGAGACAGGCAGGCGGAATTAAAAATGGGCAAGGATCTGCACAGACATTTCTCTAAACAAGAGTTACAAATGACCAACAAGCACATGGAAGATGCTTAACATCACTAGTCATTAGGGAAATGCAAATCAGAACCCCAGGCCAGGCGTGGTGGTGGCTCACACCTATAATCCTAGCACTCTGGGCACCTGAGACAGAAGCATTGCTGGAGGTCAGGAGTTCGAGACCAGCCTGAGCAAGAGTGAGACCCTGTCTCTACTAAAAATAGAAAAAGTTAGCCAGCCATGGTGGCACCTGTAGTCCCAGCTACTCGGGAGGCTGAGGCAGGAGGATCGCTGGAGGTCAGGAGTTTGAGGTTGCCGTGAGCTAAGCTGATGCCACAGCACTGTAGCTGGGATATGGAGAGAGACTCTGTCTCAAAAAAAAAAAAAAAAAAAACCCAAAAAAAAAAAAAAACCCACAACAAGATACCACTTCATACTCACTAGCATGGTTAAAATCAAAACCATAGACAACAGCAAGTGTTAGCAAGGATGCAGAGAAACTGGGACCCTCATACACTGCTCCCAGGAATTCGAAATGGTGCATGTGCTGTGGAAAGCAGTGTGGCAGTTCCTCAAAAAGTTAAACACAGAATTTCCATATGACTCAGTGATTCGTCTCCTAGGCATAGCCCCAAGGGAAATAAAACCATATATTCACCTAAAAATCTGTACATGAATGAATGTGTGTAGCAGCACTATTCGTAATAGCCAACAAATGGAAACAACTTGAATGTCCATCAGCAGGTGAATGGATAAACAAAAAGTGGTGTATCCATATAATTTAATTCAATATTATTTGTAATAGAAAGGAGCAAAATTCTAATACACCCTACAATGTGTATGAACCTTGAAAACATTTGAACTAAGTGAAAGAAGCCAGTCAGAAAGGCCACAAATTGCACGGTTCCATTTATATGAAATGTTTAGAAAAGGTCAATCTATGGAGACAGAAAGTAGATAGTGGTTTCCAGGGGCTGGGGCCAGGGAGGAAATGGGGAGTGACTGTTAATGGGTAAAAAGTTTCTTTTGGGGGCAATGAAAATGTTCTGAAATTGGTGATGGTTGCATAACTCTGTGAATATGCTAAAAACCACCGAATGGTACACTTTACAAGAATGAATCTTATGATATCTGAATTATATTTCCAGAGAACCATTATTTAAAGAATTGGTGGTGGAAGAATACCTCCAGCTATTATGCTGTTAAGTGAAAAGGAAAAAAAGCAGGTGCAAAATAGCATGTACAAAAGTAATGGAAAAGTATGTAGAAGATGATTTCAATTATGGAAATAATTATACATATAAAATGAGCAAAACATATGAACAGGCAATTCATAGGAACAGCAATCCAATTAAACAGAAAAAAAAGAGAAAAAAATGAAAAGATATTCAGTCCCACTGTTAATCAAAAAAATGAAAATGAAATCCCAATGGGATGCTCTACTCCAGGCATCCTCAAACTACGGCCGGTGGGCCACATGCGGGCCGCCTGGCACGTTTATCCGGCCCGCCGGGTGTTTTTGCCGCCGCTGCCTGTCCTGCTTAGCAGCCGACTCGTCCCGGGCCCGCAGTGCGCACTCTCCAACGGTCCGAGGGACAGTGGACTGGTCCCCCTGTTTAAAAAGTTTGAAGACCCCTGCAAGTCTTCTCACACCCAAGAGACTGGCAAACATTAAGAAGTGTGACAATATCAAGTGAGGCCGGACAGTGTCAAAAACCCTTCCAACACCGCTCCTGAGCATGGACACCGGCGCGGTCACTGTGGAGAGTGACTCGGTCACGTCTGCCGAAGATGCGCTGTGCTGTCATCCAGCAAATCCACCCTTGGTGCGTGCCCACGCCATGCTCTTGCGTAGAAGCACAAAGAGATGCACGCAAGAATTGCAGTGCAACCTTGCTTATAAAGGCCAAAAAACCGAACCCCAGATTCCCTCCAGAGCAAAAGCAAAAAAAAAAAAAACAAAACAAAAACGAAAACAACCTCAATGATGGCCAACAGGGACAGTGCAATGTGTTATGTTCCTCAAGAGGAAGACTGCACTTCCGGGAAAATGGACTGGGCTGCAGTGTGGGGGATGAGCATTACAGTCTTGTTACAGTCTTGTTTTGTTTGAGTACAAAGACAAGCTGCAGAGGGATTTATGCCGTTGACAACTATTTGTGGAAAGTGGGGAAACTTGAGAAACAACATCGTATATGTTATTTAGGAATATACGCCTATGTTATAAAACAATTTTTTTACAACGCATTTTAATGACATTTTAATAACATTTTAATAACATCTCACTCTAGAAAGTGCTTATCATTGGGGAAACAGCCGTAGGGAAATGCCGTCCAGAAGGGGGTCCATGAAGGCTGGCAAATTTATGGGTTAATATTTTATTTCCTGGGCAGGTGGAGGCAGAAACACGGGTACTCATCGTTATTATTCTTTCTACTTTTCTCATGTCCCAAATATTTTGTGATATTTTTTAACTCCACCAAAGAAGCTTCCGGAGCTAACGTGATCATGGCTGTAGCTCCACTGCTGGTGCATAGAGAATGAGGCACCCCTACCGCTCACTTGGGTTAATACTTTTCCATTCCTTCCACTCAAAGGGGCGAATGTCTTTATTCCTCTGGGGAGCACTGTGGATGCTAACTAGTTAAAATTTATTGCAGCGCTTCTCAAACTTGAGCTTGCATCAGAATCCCCTGGGGAACTTCACACGGCACAGATTCCTTGGCCCGACTCTCAGAGACTCTGATTCACTGGGGGAAAGTGCCCCGTAACTTGCATTCCTGAAAGTTCCGAGGAGAGGCTGGTGTTGCCACCCCACGGACTATACTCTGAGAGACAGTGGCAGGCGTTGTGCCAAGCGCCATACATGCCTTCGTTGGTCTCATTTCCACTAAAACTGTAATGATTTAGTGGGAATCCCATACGCGGGGAAAGAACCCATTTTCCAGACGATAAAACTGAGGCTCAGGGAGCTAAACGCATGCATACGCCTGAGGCTGAACAGCTAGCGCGTAGCAGAAATAGGATTCGAACCCAGGCTGGCTCCAAAGTGCTCACTCTCGAGCCACTAAGATACACTTAGGGTTTCAAAAAGGAGTCCAAGGCAGGACTAGCCAGCGGGTCGTACCTGGATCAGCGACCTCATGTTGGCGAAGTGCGTGTCCATGGCGCCTCCGTGGGGGAAGTTCTGGTTCATCCTCTTCATGAGCTCGGTGAAGCAGCTGAAAGCAAGGGCCTCTGAGGAAGCAGCACAGGACAGTCAGCTGTAGCACCCCCCGCGGGACCTGAGCTCCCAGAGCGGTGGGCTGCGGCCCCCGGCGGGCTCACAGCCACACAAGAGACACATGGACAGTGCAGAACCAAGTGCGTTCCACTCCAAGGGGTGCTTTCCAATCTTTGATTAATACCTCTCACCTTAGAGGTATCGAAATATCTTAGATGCCCTTTTTAAAAGATCCTTATTGGATACGATAAAAAGTTGGTCATGTTTTCTTGGCCTCAAACCTTTTTTTTTTTTTTTTTAATCTTTTTTGAAATTGTACTGGTTTGTGAAATTCTTAAGCATTTGAACAGCAAGGGCTGGAAGGGCTTTTACAGGTGATGTGCAAAGAAAGGGTCAAGTAACTTTGTGAGATGCTTAGAATATCTGCTGCTTAGGGAATGGCTACACATAGTCAAGTAAGTAAAGGCTCTGACAAATCCTGCAATACAGAAATTTGTATTGTGTAACCTGGTGTTTCAAAAACTTATTTGAAAATGGTATTTTCTTTTCTCTTAGCAATCGGTAACTTTGGGGAAAGCTACCCTAGACTGGAAGGTTTCCCAAGGACAGTAGGATCTCATTTATTCTTTAAAAGACTTTATTTTTCAGAACAGTTTAGATTTATAAACAATTGAGAAGATAGTGCAGAGTTCTCATATATCCTACATCCAGTTTCCTGTTATTGACATCTTAACACTAGCATGGCACATTTGTTATACTTAATAAACCAATATTGACCGCCATTAACTCAAGTCCATACTTTATTCAGATTTCCTTAGTGTTTACTGCATGTCCTTTTTTCTGTTCCAAGATCCCATTTAGGATAGCTCATCACATATGGTGGTTGTGTCTCCTTAGGCTCCTCTTGGCTGTGCCAGTTTTTTTCCGGCTTTTCTGGTTGTCAATGACCTTGACAGCTTGGAGGAGTCCTGCTCAGGTATCTTCGCAGGATGCTGCACTGAGTCATGGGGTTTGCCCGATGTTTTCTCCCAGTAAGACTGGGTTATGGGTTACTGGGCAGAAGACCACAGAGGTAAAGTGCCATTTTAATTGTATCATCTCAACGGCATATACTCTCAACATGATCTATGGCTGCCGTTGACCTTGGCCAACTGGCTGTGGTAGTGTTTTCCGGGTTTCTCAGCTGTAAAGTTTCTCTCTCACACCCCTCCCCCATTCCCTCCATAGGGCACTTTTTGGGAGAAAGTCACTATGTGCAGCCTTTGCCTAAAATATGGGGTTATGTCCCCATTTTTGAACCGTATTATCGAGATTCATATATACAATTTACCCCTTTTTTTTTGAGACAGAGCCTCGCTTTGTTGCCCAGGCTAGAGTGAGTGCCGTGGCATCAGCCTAGCTCACAGCAACCTCAAACTCCTGGGCTCAAGCAATCCTCCTGCCTCAGCCTCCCAAGTAGCTGGGACTACAGGCATGCACCACCACGCCCGGCTAATTTTTTCTATATATATTAGTTGGCCAATTAATTTCTTTCTATTTATAGTAGAGACGGGGTCTCGCTCTTGCTCAGGTTGGTTTCGAACTCTGGAGCTCAAACGATCCGCCCGCCTCGGCCTCCCAGAGAGCTAGGATTACAGGCGTGAGCCACCGCGCCCGGCCTGCAGTTTACCCTTTTAAATGAATAATTCAGTGGTTTCAGTACGTTCACAGTGTTGTGCGACCATCACCACTGTCTATTTCCAGAACATTTCTTCGCTCCAAAAGGAAACCCTGTACCCATGAAGCAGCCACTCCCCATTTCTCTCTCCACCTTGTCCACCACTAGTCTACCTTCTGTCTCTATGGCTTTGCCTCTTCCGGTCATTTCATAGAAATGGAATCGTACAATATGTGGTCTTTTGTGTCTAGCTTCTTTCACTTAGCACAACGTTTGCAAGGTTTACCCATGTTGTAGCAAATATCAGAACATCATTCTTTTAATATTATTCCATTGTACAGATACACTATATTTATTTATGCATTCATCAGTTGACGGACATTTGGGCTGTTTCCACTTTTTTTGGCTATTATGAATAATGCTATTATGAACGTTCATCTACAAGTGTTTGTATGAACGTATATTTTCAATTCTCTTACATATATACCTGTGGATATCTTATTGTTGAATTGTAAGAGTTCTTTGTATCTCTTGGAGACAAGCCTCTTATCACACATATGACCTGCAAATATTTTCTTCCATTCTTTGGGTTCTCCTCACCTTCTTGATGGTATCTTTTGGAGTGCAAAAAAGTTTTTAATTTTGATGAAGTCTAATTTGCACATTTTTTCTTTTGTCATTTATGCTTTTGGCATCATATCTAAGAAACCATTGTCTAACCCAAAGTCACAAAAATTTACTCTATGTTTTCTTCTAAGAGTTTTACTATTTTAGTTCTTGCATTTAGATCTAGGATCCATTTTGAATTAGCTTTTTGTATGTGGTGTGAGGTAAGGGTTCAACTTCAATCTTTGCATACGAATATCCAGTTATTCCAGTACCATATGTTGAAAAGACTATTTTTTTCCTCATTGAGTTGAATTGTGTCTTGGCATCTTTGTCAAAATCAATTCGCCATTAATGTAAGGGCTTATTTCTGGACTCTCAATTCTATTCCACTGATGTACATGTCCTTCCTTATGGATGTACCATACTGTTTTGATTACTGTAGCTTTGTAGTAGGTTTAGAAATCAGGAAGAATGAGTCCTCCAACATTTTCTCCTTGTTCAAAATTGTTTTGGCTATTCTAAATCTCTTGGATTTCTGTATCAAGTTTAAGGTCAGCTTGTCAATTTTTTGTAAAAAAGGCAGCTGGAATTTTTGATAGTGATGGTGCTGAGTCTGCAGATCAACGTGGAAAGCATTGCTACCTTAACAATGCTAAGTCGTCCTGTCCATCAACATGAGATGTCTTTCCATTTACTTAGGTTTTCTTGAATTTCTTTCAACAATGTCTTGTGGTTTTCGATGTACAAATCTTGCAGTACTGTTATATTTACTCATAAATATTTTATTCTTTCAGATGTTAATGCAAATGGAATCATTTTCCTAATTTCATTTTGGGATTGCTCAGGTGTATAGAAATACCATAGACTTTTGTTTATGGAGCTTGTATCCTGCCCTGCAACCTTGCTGAACTTATTAGTTCTATTTTTTTCTTTTATTCCTTAGGATTTTCTATATCCAAAATCATGTCATCCATGAATAGAGATAGTTTAAATTCCTTTCCAATCTAGATGACTTTTGTTTCTTTTTCTTCCTTAATTGCCCTGGCTAGAACTTATAGTGGCAAAAGTAGACATCTTTGTCTTGTTCCGATCTTGGGGGAGGATACTCAGTCTTTCACTATTGAGTATGATGCCATTTGTGGCTTTTTCATAGATTCCCTTTATCATGTTGAGTAAATTCCCTTCTATTTCTAGTTTGTTGAGTGTTTTATCATAAAAAAAGGTATCGGATTTTGTCATGTTTTTCTGTGTCAACTGAGGTGATTATGTGGGTTTTGCCCTTTAATTTATTAATGTGGTGAATTACCTTGCTTTATTTTTGTATGATGAAACACCCTCGCATTGCTGGAATAAACCTCACTTGGTCGTGGTATATAATCTTTTTTGTATATTTTTGGATTAAGTTTGCTGGTATTTTGATGAGGATTTTTGCATTTATATTCACGAAGGATATTGGTCTGTAGTTTTCTTGTGATATCTGTGGCTGGTATTGGCATCAGGGTACCAAAGAGGTACCCAGTACTCAGATGAGGACTGGCCTCACAGTGAGTTGAGAAGCATTCCTTCCTTGTGTATTACTATTATTATTATTATTTTGAAGAGCTTGTGAACAACTGGTGTTAATTCTTTCAATGTCTGGTAGAACTAGCCAGTGAAGCCATCTGGGCCTGTATTTTTTTTTGTTGTTGTTCTCATTTATGTCCATTACAATCAGTGGCTAGCAAAGGCCTGGCTGTGAGTTACGTGCTGGGCAGCATGGAGCACAAGGAACTGTGATTTCACTAGGATCGTGATGTGTTCACCAGCCAGGTCTTCTGAGCACCTGTCCTGCCCTATTTCATGCGGTCCCAAAGTGAAGTTCACCTCCCTGCCCTGCAGTGGGCAGGAAACTGTACCCCCAGCCCCGGGACAGGGAAGACACACTCACCATCATCCAGGATGACCAGCAGTGGGGCCAGGAGGTCACACATGCCCTGGACGTAGCCGATCTCAATGTGCTGCCAGATGTAGCTATGAGGGAGGCAGGGGACCCGTGATGGCATGCCCCCCCTGCCTCGCCAGCCCGCGCTTCCTTCCCCTCCTCCCCCCCTCCCCGTTTGATCTCCCGCCTCTCACCGGGACCATTTCCTCCCCATCCCCAGTCCTACCCTCCCCAAACGCCCTATGTGACCCCACCAGGGTCCCTAAGGTCCATCTCTGGGAGGGCTGCACAGGCTCAAACACCTTCACGGGCTCCCTGCTTTCTGATGGGATGGCGTACAGACTGCTTTGCTGGGGGGCAGAGCATATGCAACCTCCTTCCAGCTCATCCTCACAGCCCGTACGTCACTCCCTGGCTCCTCTTCCTCCCCAGCCACACCGAGGCACACAAGCCCTTTGCACAAATAAACCACATCTATGTCTCCGTGCCTTTGCCCTCACAGTTCCCTCTGGCTAGAATTCTGCTCCACCCCTCACTAATAATAGCTTAGATTTCTGAGCATTTCCTGCTCATTTCATACTCATCCAACCAGACACGCAGGTGCCATTATTAGCCCATTTCACAGATAAGGAGACTGAGGCATAGAGAGGTAAAGGGCATACCCAAAGTCATATACTTAATAATAAGTGGCAGAGACAGTATTTGAACTCAGGAAACCTTACTTGAGGATATGGGATCTTAACCTCTATGATAAATAGTTTCTTTTTTTTAATTTTTTTTATTTCTTTATTTTTTTTTTTCTATTTTCAGTTGGCCAATTAATTTTTTTTTTTTTAAGTAGAGACGAGGTCTCGCTCTTGCTCAGGCTGGTCTCGAACTCCTGAGCTCAAACGATCCACCCGCCTCGGCCTCCCAGAGTGCTAGGATTACAGGCGTGAGCCACCGCGCCCGGCCTCTTTAGTTTTCTTAATTTTGTCAAAACCCATCTTGAAGGTCACCACCTCTGTGAAGCCTTCCATGATTTCTGCCTATGCCATAACCAGGCAAAAGTCAGCCTATCTGTCCTCCTCCCTCAGTGCTATTTACACTTTAATATAACATCTATCAGACTACACTATAAATATAATATATTATATAATATACAATCAATTAGACATTACTAAATGGTTAGCAGTCATTAATTCTGGGTGCTGTGGCACCATTAATTCCTAATCCATTAATTCTGATGGGTGGAGATGAGAGAAGTTTCTCTTTATATCTTGGGAGCTTCTAATCCCTTTGATGGAATTAGATTTTTCAATAAGCAGGGGTTGTTTTTGTATTTTAAGAAACATCAATAGTACTTTTTTAATGAACAGTAATTAAGCCTCAGATCTTGGCTGAAAGAAAAAAAAAAAGAAAAAGAGGGCAGATTCTGGAGCCAGAGAGCCGTGGCTGTGAGCTCAGCCGTGGCCCGGCTGGGGGCTCTGAGCAACGTCGCTCCTCCCTGGCCCTCCGCCCCCTCACTTAGAAAAGGGGGTAGCACTCGCCTTTCAGGGTTGTTTGAGGGCTAATTGAGCAATGATGGCAAAGAGCTCAGAACAGTGGTATACAGTAAGTGCTTAATAAATGCTTTATATTATTAGTAGTATTCTAATTATTTGTCAGTGTGGGCTGAATTAAGATTCCAGGTGGGTATGTTGCCAGTTTTAGAGGCTGAAATAAATTCCAGCTGGGTCCCCGAGAGCCCCCACCTCGCCCTGCCCCTCCCTGCGGTCCCCTCCCCCACTGCAAGCCACCTGCACATGACGTTACGCAGCTTCTCCAGGTTGGCCGGTGTGAAGTACCAGTAGTTGCGGTCGCACCTCTGCACGTCCTTGTCGATGCGATGCAGATTCACCGTGTATAGGTCGAGCAGCTCTGGCTGTAGGGCCCCACGGGGGGGGGGGGGGGGAACGGGGGGGGGAATGAAAAATTACACCCAGCTCCTCACTGGAACACAGAGATCCTCTCTTCCCCTCTTAACCCTGTCCTGGACCACTCAGCTGTTTGATTTTGTTTGTTTTCAATTTTATTTTTTAAATTTCAAGAAATTTAGGAGGTACAAGTGGTTTTTTGTTACAGGGATGAGTTGTATAGTGGGAAGTCTGGGCTTTTAGTGTATCTGTCGCATGAATAATGTGTTTTCTGGGAAAGTTGTCTTTTACTTTGTAGGATAAAATCGTGTCTCAAAGAGTTACAACTAGAGCTGGAAGTGCCCCCCCCCTCTGCTGAAAACTGGGTAAGGAGAATGGAAGAATTTGATGCACTGGCCAACAGCCCTAATTGGCTCAATGATACAGCAAGAAAACAGGAAACATTTAAGGACCAAAACCTAAATCCAGAAAGGTATGAAAACACCAAAGCCGGCTTTCTCCTTGAGAGAAGCTGCCAAACTGGAAAAACTTAAGCTTAGATTTAATTGTTTTGTGTTCTCTCAAGCCAAAGGGGAGGGGTCTAATAATTCTTGCAGGAAGGTAGGACCCCAAAGAGTCACACCTTCAGTAAGGGAAAACTAGAAAACCTACTAACATCCTGGAGGCTTAACATAATTGCCTTGAACATATGTATACAATTAAGTGTAAATGGCATGTCCCTGGATAATTAAGAGCCACAAGTCAGGGTTATCACTCATGCAGATTTAAAACCCAAATTTCCACTACCTGGGTGGTCTAAAAGATCAGAGAATTTAGTTCAAAGTCATCTTATACTTGTTATTCCTCTGGTACTAGGAAGAGGCAAAAGAAAACCCTCTATTAAGAGGAATCTACCTTCCACTTAGCCCTTAAATAGTGCAATAGATAAAATTCCAAGAAATATGAGCTGGTGTTCAAAAAATCACAAAACACCCAGGGAAAGAAGGCACCACAAATGACAGTCAGCATAAATACAAGACAGCAGAATGAGACTCTTTCTGGATTTTTAGAAGTATCAGGAATATAATACAAATAAGTATATTTGCTGTGTTTAAAGAAATAAGAGATTAAAATAAGAGCAAGAGTTTATAAAAATAAGCAGATTGTTTTATAGCAAATTTGAAGAAAAGCCATATAAAACTTAAAAAATATATTAAATGCTCATTAGAGACAGGTGACAGAAAATTAGACACTCTGAAGAGAAATTAGTAAATTGAAAGGAGAGCTGAAAAAACTATCCAATTCATCACAGAAGAACAAAGAAATGATAAGACGAAGGAGAAGGAATATATATGGTGGATAGTGTGAGAAGGTCTAACAAACTTTTAATCAGATCTACAGATGGAGAGAGAAAATGGGGAAGTAGCAACAGCTAAAGAAACAATAGATGGGAATTTTCCAGGACTCTCTAAAGACACCAATTCACAGCCAAATAAAACCCAACAAACCTCTACCCAGGAAGTATAAAAAGAAATCTACAGCTAGGCACAAACATGGCACACGATACCAAAAAGAGAATCTTAAAAGTAGCCAGAGAGAAAGGAGATTATTTTTAAAGAAATGAAAATTAGATCTTTAAAGATCCTTTCAAAGAATGACAATTAATACACCTGACTTCTCAACAGCAACAATGGAATTTGCAAGACAGTGGAACAATATCTACTGAGAAAAAAACTGCGATCTAGACTTGCAAATTCCCCTTTCAAGAATGGGGGCAAAATGAATCCAAGATAGACACAATGGAGAAGCACTCTTCTAAAGAGTGAACTGCATATGAAAAGATAGTTATTCCAGTACTAGAGGCCTGTGATGTAAGAAGGAACGAAAAGCGAGAAATCTGGACACCACTGAAGTATGTGCTCCACCTAAACAAGAGAGTCAACCAAGAAAGAGGTAAACGTGAGGCATAGGAAACAGGAAAAGCAGAAGGAACCTTGGCCTAGGGACAGAGGAAGGCACAGGATGACAACTGTGGATCAGGCGCTGTGGAGGGCAAGACCAGAAAGCTCTTGGGAATTCTTCAGATGTACAAAAGAAAGAGAAAACCTGATGTGTCTGAATGCTCGAGAAGGGATTTGGAAAAGATTTGGGGAAGCGAACTGATGATAAAAACGCACCAAACTAACAAAAAGAAAACAGGCCGGGCGCTGTGGCTCATGCCTGTAATCCTAGCACTCTGCGAGGCTGGGGTGGGAGGAAAGCTTGAGGTCAGGAGTTTGAGACCAGCCTGAGCAAGAGCGAGACCCCCATCTCTACTAAAAATAGAAAAAAATCATCTGGGCATGGTGGCACATGCCTGTAGTCCCAGCTACTCAGGAGGCTGAGGCAGGAGGATCGCTTCAGCCCAGGAGTGGGAGGTTGCAGTGAGGCTTGGTGACGCCACTGCACTCTAGCTGGGGCAACAGAGTGAGACCCTCTCTCCCCCTGCCTCACAAAAGGCGAGAAAATAAAAACACATTTAGGAAAAACAATATTTTTATGGGAAAGCAAAAATAAACACAGCTTATAGATTATATTGTTATAGTAATGTACACTCTGACATTTGCACTATATGTGTAAAACGTTATAATACCTAACATTTATCTACAATTATTATATAATTATATTGGAGGGGTGGGGATGGGAAGGTGTCACTTGCATGCTGGGGTAGGGTGGAAACGGAGCACAGCCCTCCCCTTCCACAGCAGGGAGCCGATAGCTAATGTCTAAACCTGGAAACGACTAAGACAAGGAAGCAGCAGTACAAGCGTGTTGGGGACATGGGGCAAACCCCAAATAATTTGGGCATGGTAAGCAAATATGGTCGTCTCTGCGGAGGGCTAAATGGGGAGTTTAGCCATTTCAGTTGATGTCCTTTGGCTTGGACTTTCCGGCAAGAAAGCAAACTTGAATATTTAAAAGATACAGGATCTGAGTCTAAGTCACGATGCTTGTCGTCAAGGTTGCTGGCGATAGAGTGCTTACAACGCGTGCCAGGCATATGGGCCTTTAACCTATGCATTAACCTGTGCTTGCCCTTGGCATAAAGCCCGGGAAGAGATAACCTGCTAGTTCTGAAAACAACTCAGGAAGGAATAGGGAAACTGAGGCTCAGAAGGATAGTGACTTGCCAAAGCCAGGATCTGAATCCAGGACTGTTTACTGCAAAAGCCCGTGTTCTTTAAATTCTAGATTGGCTTCTCTCCCGGATGGGTTTCTGCGGTGAGCCCTCCGTGATGGGGAAAATACAGACGACCAGAGGGCTCGCTCCCGGGTCGCTCACGTTTGTGGTGTGCCCCTCCTCCCGCAGCCGGACGTAAGAAAACCGAGCGGGGACTCCGGGTGACTTACAGAGTAGGTGACGCCGCTGGAGGACACAGGGGACACCTCGCTGTTGGCGGGAGTGGTCACGGCCAGGGAAGCCAGGGCCGGGAAGAGACTTTCCATCTCGGGCTCCTCGCAGAGGTTGTCCTCGCTGTCCACCTGGCCACGTCTCCCCGCCTCGCGGCCACGCCAGCCCTGCGTGGTGGCATCGTCCTTCTCGGGCAGGGCCCCATCCATGCTGCCGGGCACGGACATGAACTCGTCCATGCTCTCGTTGGCCAGGAGGTCACTCTCCAGGCTGTCCTGCACGGCCAGCTCCTCACGGGCCGCCTCGTCCTGGGAGGTGGCGGCCTCGCTGCTCTGCCTGTCGTCCACGCTGCTGTCCCTAGGCGGCGGCGCGGGGGGGACGCTCCGCTGGGCGTCCAGGACGCTGTCCTCCGTGCTCAGACTGGGCTCCGAGTGCTCCGAGAGGCCCGAGGAGAAGTTATGGGACGAGGGGTGCCCAGAGTCCGGGGAGCACGTGCCGTTCGCCAGGTTCCCGTTGGGCACCTTGGGCTGTTTCTCTTCCGACCTGCCCTCGGCCTCCACCTGCTCCACTTCATCCACAGACTCGAACACCTGAGGACAGGTGCACAGAGACTGCTGGGACTGGGATGTCCACGCTGTGTGGATGCGGACCGCGCTGGCAGTGGGACACCACGCAGCCGGCGAGCAGACGGAGGCAGACCGCGGTGTGACAACCGTCCCCACCCAGGATAAATAAGCAAGCGAACCGTGCGCTCCTGTACGCAGAGAATAACCCGGAAAGAAACAAGAAAGCATCGCGGTTGACCCTGAGGAGGGGGTCCTAGGGCACTGAAATGGGGGGACAGAGCAACTTTTCAGCACGTGAACTTCTACCAGGTGCACGTAATCTTTCTAAAGGAAAGAAGTAGTTAATATAAGGGACAGGCTTTTAAAAAGCATCTGTTATATCCACAGGCTTGACTATTATGGACAAATTTTTAAATGTAGTTAGATGCACAGGAAACACTACGAAGAAGTCTCCAGAACACATTTTAAAGATTTATTTGCTGTTCTTTGTGTCCTTGCTTAGGTCATAGGCCATCAAGGGTAGACAGCAAAAGACCACGTTCCAAAGTCACTTGAAATGTTTCTTCTCTAAGTGGTTATGTCACCAACTTGATTTATGGTTAGTTTCATGCATTTCTGTGTTTTTAAAGACTTCTTTTTGATTCAATGGATTTAAATTATGTAAGCAATTTGCCTAACTCCAGAGTCAAAACTAGAGTTTTTAGATTCAAAGTCAAAATTAGAAGGGGAAAAAAATAGCATATTCAGGGAAATGCAGTGTCTTTCCCTGTCCCCTCACCCTTTGGTAATTATTTTGATTTATTTCTGGTTTATGTTTCCGCTGGTTCCAAAAAACGGCTGCAAAAATATACCTATATTAATATTTTCTCTTTTTACACAACAGGGAACATACTATGCTTTTTTTGCACTTTGTTCTTTCATGTTGAAGGAGATTGAGTTATCTCTTTTCATTGAATGAAATGGAAAGTTCTTGAACATATAGGGTGTCATTTATGTAGAAATTAAAAAAAAAAAAAACACAAACTACCAAACATTGTTACATATTATCTACAAATTTCTGGGTATGCAAAGGCACCCAGAAGGTCCGGAAAGCACACACGGCAAACTGATGGCAGTGGTGTTATTTCAGGTGTGGGCAGGCAGGGATTGAGAATGGTCGAGGTAGAACTTGACTTCCTTTGTCAAAGGAAGAATAGAGAATAGGTTCATTATGTTACGTAACTAAAAAAAAAAAAAAAAAAAAGATCAATTTTTAATGCTAGTATAAAAAGCTAAAACAACCTGAGAATAGATTTATGTTATGTAACTAAAAAAAAAAAAATCAAATTTTAATGGTAGTATAAAAAACTAAAACAAACAACCCTAGAAGTGACCAGGGGGTGGGGCCAGAGGAAAGGGGTGGGGCTGGAGGGAAGGGGCGGGGCTGGAGGAAAGGAGTGGGGCGGGGCCAGCGGAAGGGGCGGGGCCTCCTGGAGGTGTCACCTGTGTGCTGCTGCTGGAGTCGCTGTGCAGGCGGATGTTCTGGTGGCCGGAGCTGCAGCTCTGGGAGGACTGGGAGAAGGAACAGGAGGGAGAGAGGGTGAGGCGGCATCCCGACCCAGGGCAGGAGGGACTGCTGGGCTGTGAGCCACTTTCCTGTCTATTCCTGGCGTGCACAGGTGTCCTCTCGGGGCCTCAGCTTGTTAGCTATAAAATGAAAAGGGGGGACCGCTTCCTGCTTTGCAGAGTCCCCGCGGAGACCACCTGGGCCTCTGGGCCTCCACCTCCACAACTGGAGCACCCCACCTTCAACTGCTCTGTATTCGAGACTTCTGCCTAATATTTCAGTTCCACTCAGAGTAACTGGCTGCATCAACAGCTCAGTTGTTTTTACCCGTTTCCTGCGTGCGTGCCTTGTGCCCCATCGCTTTGCAGTCCTTGCCTATTCTGATGCGCTGCCTGGCCACGTGGCTTGCTTCAGTCAGTGGGATGGCAGCAAGCTTAACCCAGCAGGGGCTTAAAAACACGTGTGTGCATTTCTGCCCTCTCTGCAGCGTCTGTTCTCACCACGAGAGCATGCCCAGGTGAGCTTGCCGGGCGATGAGGCCCCTGGAGCACAGCCGTGTCATCCCAGACAGGCGACAGAGCTCAGCTGAGATCAATAAACCTTTTAGTTGACCAGCCACGGACAGCTGGTGCCTGAGTGAGCTCCCCGTCCCCAGCCCAGCTCAGGGCAGAACTGCCCGGCCGACTCACAGACATATGAGCAAAAATAAGCGTTGGCTGTTGGAAGTCACTGACTTTTGGCGGTTGTTTGTTATGCAGGGTTATCGTGACAACTGGTGACTAATAGAGATTATGGGTGAAGAGAATTAACTTTTTTTCTGAGCTCTTGCTTGGGGCTGTTAAATAGGAGGTTCTGGGAGGGCAGAGATGTTGGCCTTGGTTACTGGAATATTCTTGGCATTCCAGGACATTTCTGACAGTACCTGGCAGATAGTAGGTTCTCCATATGCATTTGTTAAATCAATTAAAGTCAGGCACTGTGCTGGGTGCTTTATATACACTGTCTTGTTTGAGCAGTACTCAAACCTCCTTGTGTCCCTGATTATTCCCACTTTACAGATGCAGAAACTGAGGTCCAGAAGAAAAGGTGCTTGCAGGAGACTCCAGAGCTAGGAAAGGGTGGGGCTGGAGTTTGGACCCAGGTCTGATTCCAGAGTCACCCCTCCAACCTCACAAACAAAGCCAGGGGGGAAAGACTGTCCCAAGACCCCAGACTCTTGACCTTCCCCACTCTCGGAACAGCCCGATGAAGCAGGTCCTGGCCTCCCCCGCCCCTCCTGCTCCCCGAGGCCACCGCCGTCACCTCGTTGCTGATGGTGGAGTCCCTGTGCATCATCCGGTGCAGGTGGCTGTCCAGGCTGGCCCCGGAGGAGCATTTGGCCAGGGCCGCAGCGTGGGACTCGCGCTCCCTCTGCCGCACGATCGCCTCGCAGCCCAGCCACTCGGCCATGGTCTGTGCGTAGCAGGCGTGAATCTGCTCGTCCACCTGCCGGGGCAGACGTAAAGCCATGGAGTTGCTGCAGCCCCTGGGGGAGCCAGCCTGACCTGGAGGAGAATGGCCCCCACCCACCCGCGTTGCTGCAGTGGGCGCCCAGCAGATGTTCCCTGAGCACCTACTATGCCACCCCGAGCACTGGCTGCGCCCCGAAGACACACAGAAGGGAGCAAGGCTACTTCTTTCCTTCCTTCTTTCCTCCATCCCTCTCTTCTTTCATTCACTCATTCATTCATCCATGCATGCAACTATTTGTTAAGCCCCTACTATGTGCCACATAGCATATGATACAGGCCCTGGGGATACCAAAGTCGAAAAAACGATTTCTTTCCTTTTTCACTACTTTCCGTCCCTCCTCCCTCATCCAGACACTCACTCGCTCATCCCTTTGGTTTGAGAAGTGCGTCTATGCACCCGGCTGGGCGCAGGGGAAACAACGCGAGCAAGACGCCGACCTCCACCCATCCCTCCACTCCAGCAGCGCACGCACTCGTGCCTCCCCCGCGCCGGGCACGGGCTGCGGGTGCTGAGGTACAAAGACGAACGAGACCGGCCCGCTTCCTGTCCTTCCCACAACGGCCCTGCAGGAGCACCACAGATTTCAAGCTTTTTCCTTGTGGGGCTTCAGCAGGAAGGTGTGTCTGGGGTACGCAGCCCAGGTGACTGAGCTCGTGGGTCTGCTAGACCTCTCTCTGGGCACCCAGGGGGCAGACGAGCTGCTCTAAGGCGTGGAAAGGCAGGAGGGAGAACAGAGAGGGTGGGGCAGTCTGCCTTCTCCTGTAGCCACTCAGGGCTCCAGAGAGGGGCTCCGGGTCTGTTCTGCCCGAGGGCCTGGCCTGAGCAGCTCCGTCCCGCCCCTCCCTAAGATGCCTCCAAGCTCCGCTCACCTCCCACGCCCAGTGCCACCCCAGGCCAGGATTCTACTGATGGGTCCGTCACCTGATGGATGGTCCCAGCAGCCTCCGTCTGGGGCTCTGCTGTCCCAGCCTGGCTCCTCCTGTCCACGCGCCACTCAGCAGTGCCAGCCTCGTTTCCTCTGCAGCCTCGCTTCTCACTGCTGCCTCCACCCCTCGTCCCTTATGTCCCAGCAACTCACGTCCGCTGTGCCCTTGTCCCCTCCCCATACACACACTCACACAGACACACACCACGTCCTGCCGGGCTCCCCTCCAGGCCTTTGGCCCTGCTGCTCCTTGTCCTAGAAGCTCTTCGTCACTCTCTCAGTTTGGAAAGCAATTCCTTTAAGTACACGGGTACAATCGGCACCTCTATAGACACTTCCCACTTGCAACTCTCCTTCAACTGTTCTGATTACACCAGGGAAGAAGGGCCAGCCTGGTGCTACTGTGTCTTCAACACCTCTTCCATACTTTATAATCTCCTTTTCCTTTTTGGAGACAGTCTCTGTTGCTCGGGCTACAGTGCCGTGGCGTCAGCCTAGCTCACAGCAACCTCAAACTCCTGGGCTCTAGCGATCCTCCTGCCTCAGCCTCCCGAGTAGCTGGGATTACAGGCATGTGCCACCATGCCCGGCTAATTTTCTGTCTCCATTTTTAGTTGCCCGACTAATTTTTTCTCTTTTTGGTAGAGACAGGGTCTCGCTCTTGCTCAGGCTGGTCTCAAACTCCTGAACTTCAGTGATCCTCCTGCCTCAGCCTCCCAGAGAGCTAGGATTACAGGCATGAGCCACCATGCTGGGCCCTATAATCTCCCTTTTTAACAAAGAGAAAGTGGGCCTTGGGCAGATTACAGCAGCTAGTTAGAACTGAATTACATCATTTGGTCTTGCTCTGTTTATTTGTATAGTTTCCTCCTATGTCAAGTCACATTGGCTTCCCATTTATGGAAGGGATGTAGAATATGTTTCAAAATAAGTTACATAAATTTTAAGTGAGTCAACTTAAAGACAAATGTTGAATAAGTAACAGTACAGGTGGTACATGCATATGGAGAGTGAAATGCCACCAACTTTTGAAAACTTAATACAAGTAAAAGAATGTAAAATATCTCATTGATATTTCTATTGGTTACATGTTGAAATGGAAACATATTGGCTATATTGGGTTAAAAAATTATATTATTAAAACGAATTTCACCTGGATGAAAGGTTGTAAAACCACACATGCGCACAACACGAGCAGATGCAAAATCTTAGTATAAGTCTAAAAAAATCAAGCAATCCAATTAGAAAATGGACAAAAGCCCCGAGCAGACATTTCACTGGAGAAGAGAGACAACAGCAACTAAGTGCACGCAATGATGTTCAACCTCACCGGCCATTTGAGAAATGCAAATTAAACCCAGAATGAAATACCGTTTACATACTCTCAGAGTGGCTTAAAGTACAAACGAGTGACAACATCAAACTCTGGTGAAGATGCAAGGGGGGGTCACTCATATGTTGCTGGTGGTAACATACAGCGATACAGCCACTGCAACAGTTTGGCAGGTTCTTGTAAAACCAAACATGCAACTACCCTATTGCAACTACCCAGCAATTGCATTCTTGCACGTGTTTCCCTGAGAAATGACGACTTATGCTCACCCCAAAACCTGTGCATACATGTTCTTTGTAGCTTTATTTGTAATAGTCAAAAAAACTAGAAGAAATTTAGTTATATCCATGAACAGATGTACAGTTAAAGTGTAGTGCATCCGTATCACGGAATACTACTTGGCCATAAAAAGGAATCAACTCCTGATACAAGCAACAACTTGGATGAATCTCTGGAGATTTATGCTGAGTGGAAAAAAGTCAATCCCAGTGAGTTATATACTGTATGACTCTATGTATACAACATTTTTTTTTTTTGAGACGGAGTCTCACTTTGTTGCCCAGGCTAGAGTGAGTGCCGTGGCATCAGCCTAGCTCACAGCAACCTCAAACTCCTGGGCTCAAGCAATCCTCCTGCCTCAGCCTCCCGAGTAGCTGGGACTACAGGCATGCGCCACCATGCCCGGCTAATTTTTTCTATATATATTAGTTGGCCAGTTAATTTCTTTCTATTTATAGTAGAGACGGGGTCTCGCTCTTGCTCAGGCTGGTTTCGAACTCCTGACCTCGAGCAATCCGCCCGCCTCGGCCTCCCAGAGTGCTAGGATTACAGGCGTGAGCCACCGCACTCGGCGTATACAACATTCTTGAAATGACAAAATTAGAGCAATGGAGAACATATTATTAGTGGTTTCCAGGAGTTAGGGACAGGGGTTGGGGTGGAAGGAGGTGGGTGTGGCTACAAAAGAACAACAAATAGAGTCCTTCTAGTATTAGAAATATTCTGTATGTTGACCCTGGTTGTGGACACAAAGCTTCACGTGTGAGAAGACTATAGAGAATGAAACACACACACACACACACACAAATGAGTGCAGGTAAAACTGGGGAAATCTGAATAAGGTTAGTATATTGTACCAATGTCCATACCTTGGTTGTGATATTGTTCTACAGCACAGTTTTGCAGGACGTTACCATCGGAAGAGATCGGGCAAAGGATACATGACATTTTTCTGCATTGTTTCTTACAGCTGCATGTGATTCTACAGTTATCTCAAAATAAAAAGTTTATTTAAGAAATTACACACGGGCCAGGCCTGGTGGCTCATGCCTAGCACTTTGGGAGACGGAGGCGAAAGGATTCTTTGAGCCCCGCTGTTTGAGGTTGCAGTGAGCTATGGTGATGTCACTGCACGCTAGACCAGGTGACAGAGTGAGACCCTGCCTCAAAAAAAAAAAATAAATAAAATACATATGTAGCGTGGGTCGTATTCCTACTGGACAGCACTGCCCGGAGGTTGTGGTCTCCCCCACACCTCCCAGATCCCTCATGGTCCAACATGAGCAAAGAGACCCTCCACAGCCTCAGAGTGTCTGGCTCCTTTTGTTGCCAAAGATCCTACCACCCAGAGCGGGTGACCAACCTCCTTCCTCTCTGTTTCCGTCATCCCGAACTGGTAGTGGCCCAGGAGGAAGGGCCACACGGCCTTGCGGATGTCGGGCTGGATGCCCCCGTAGTAGATCAGACGCAGCAGCTCCTGCTCCTCGTAGCTCTGCGGTGGGCGGGCGGGAAGCAGAGAGTTTGGTCAACAGGAAATCAGGGGGTGGACTCCGTGGTCCAGCAGTGCAGCTCCTTGGTCCTGGCCCTCCGCTATCCTGGTGCGAATATGCAAAGCCATGCGCACCCGGACATTCGCCATGGCGCCACATGAAAAAGCCAAACCCCAGCAACTCTCCAACTGCCCACCAAGATGGGAAGGTGCATATACCTGCTGGGCACACCACACAGAGGTTTAAAAGGGTGGGAGGCACATCTATGAGAGCCTACATAAAAAGATGTTCAGTGTGTATCGTTAAATGAAAAAAAAAAAAAAACAACAAAAAACAACCATGCAGAACATGTCTAGCATGAACTCATTTTTGTAAAAAGAACAAGAAAGAAAGGCCAGTATATAAGGAATGGACATTTCAAATTTTCAATTTCCCATACTGTGCTTATGTGGAAATATTATCATAGAGTTATTAATTTTGACTCAGCTCTAAGAAAACATCTCTAAAGCAAATAAGTGCAAGCATTTCCAGTTGCTACCTCATATGCTGATAGCTTTTGTGTGCAGCAGGATGGCTTTAACAGCCGTCTGCTGTATTGTGGAGTTGATTTTGTATGCTTTCTTTTCTTTTTTTTTTTTAATTTATTTTCCGGCAAAGGCTTTGTAGTTACAGTCACTCAAGCTGAGCGACCGGCAGGTGCTAACCACACCTGCAACGTGTGGAAAGCCCTGATGGTGCTGGCAGGCTGCTCTGAAGGGCTTGCAGTCCGCTGCAAAAAGCCTGCTTCACATCTTAAATGTTAGTCTCAGGTGTACCCCGGAGGCCACTGCTGGACTCCATTTCCCAGACTCCTTTGCGGTCAAGTGAGGCCACATGATGAGCTCTGGCCAATAGGGTGTGGCAGGAAGTGATGTCAGCCATTTCCAGGCCAGGACAGGGAGCGACAGGTGTGCTCTTCTGTACTCTCTCCCTCTCTCTCCCCTTCTGCAGGTTGGAGGCAGGGGACCATGAGGCCCTGGAGAATGGTGGGGCCCCAAAACCGAAGGGCCCTGAAGCTCTGGGGGGAAGGGGAGATGCCCACCCACCAGGAACACCCGCCCAGAACTGCCGAGTGAGAGAGAGAGATAAACCCCTATGGTGTCAGGCAACGAAAATAGTGGGGACTCTTTGTCGCTGGGGTTCAGTCTATCCTTACACAGCAATGCAACGTGAAAACACGGCAAAACAGGCTGTGAAAGGTGTTAGATGAAAAATATTCGCTTTTTTGACTAGTTCACTGTTTCAACCAATTTGTCCTTAGACTGGCGCCTCCCAGATGGGGAAGACCATCAGAAGCATTTGTGGAATTTCCAAAAGATATAGATTCTCGGGCTCTACTCCCAGAAGTGCTAAATCAGTAAAGTTGAGGCCACCCCCGGAAATCTATACATCTTTGAAATTCTGCGGGGAATATGCATGCTCAGAGGCTGCTGTGGATCAGGGACGCTGTGGCATTTTGAGGGAGTAAGCTGGTGTATCTGTTTACATTTTAAATGCACATCAATCAAGCCCACTTCTAGGAATCCACTGGTATAGAAAGGTATGTGCTAATAAAGATGTCGACTGCATCACCGTTTGAAATAATTTAGGGAAGATGCAGATTAATTATGGGCCATCCATATGCGAGGGGCTAAGGTTCTAACATTCGATGTTTCACCTAGGATTTGAAAGATGTCGCTGACATAAATGCAAGTTGGTCGCTTAAAATACAAAGATAATATACCTCACTTTAAAAATAAGGGATAAGATGGACATAGATATTATAGAGATATAGCTTTATATGTATATATTATGTATAGATATTATATTTCTATATGTATTATCTCTATATAAATCTACATAGATATAGATAAAAGATAAATAAAAGACATAAAGATGTATATCTATAGATATATAGAGATATCGGTATTATATATAGGTTTTATCTATAGCTATAGATGTATAAAAATAAAAAGATATCTATATAGAGAGGGAGCTATATATAGATGTTCTTGTGGATAAGCATAGGAAATATAGAGAAGAGTCTACACCAAACTGAGGCTATTCATTCATTTGGAGGATCAAAACTAGAGGGTTGAAGGAGAAAGATAATATTTAATTTTTTAAAAAATTTTATACATTTGCAGTCTTCATTCTTTGAATTGTTACAGTAAGTTAGGCATTACTCCCATAGTTAAAAGTATTTTTGGCAGACAGAAAAACAATCCTTCGGTTTGTCCAGGTTTGGAATCCAATTCGTCTTTGCCACTGAATCCCGTGGCATCCCAAGAGTAATGTATAGAATAGCACCTTCCCTTATGGTCTGGAAGCCAGCCTGGCCCAGGTGCTCATCAGCTCAGCCCTCCTGAGTACCTGGGTGGGAAGGTGCACAGAAGATTGGGCCACTAGATTCACCCACTGTGTAGGAAACAGGTTACCTCCTCAATCCTGTTCTTGCCAGAGATAAACTAGTGTTTCTCAAAGTGGGTTCTACCTTCCACTAGCATGGGAGGTACTTTTCTAATAAGGTTTTGGTGGCCAAATACATTTGAGGCAATGTTCCATGTCCTCTCTCACATGCCCCCATTTCTTAAGAGCGACAAGGATATTAGCATAACCAAGGCTCTGAGAAGTCCTACAGAATACGGAGAACTGTTTAACTTAGTTTCCCAAACTATTTGACTATGAAACGTTTTTTAAACATAAACATTTTCTTTCCAGGAAGATTTGTATTCTACTAAGAAAATCTGAAAAAACTATTCCAGGTAAACTATCTCATGGTAGAACCTCAGGCCCCAAGACAGAAGTGGGAGACGTGCAGAATTGGCTCCCATGAACCAGCCATCCCAGCACACAACTGACTCCAAACGCACTCAGGAGAGGATAAAAGAGAGAATGCCTGATTCTTTCTCCTTCTAGGCAAGCATATATGTTTTCCATCCCCCTCAATTGCCACCCAGGAGGGCAGAAGTGACCTGCAGGTCTTAGCACTCTCGAGAAGAGGAGAGGAACTTGAACTTGTCCATGCGGCATCCAAGCATGGCGGCTTGAGTGCCCCAAGCAGGTGGGCTTATTTCTCGGCGACAAGATGCCCTTCCCCGCAGCTGCTGCACCTGCACAGGCCAAGCCCAGTGGAGCCTTACTGTGCTGTCCTGAAGGTACTGCTCCCAGATCCTGGCCGTCAGCCCCTGTCCAGCATCACAGGGCAGGTCCGGAGACACGATCATGTGATTGACCAGGGCTGACAGGTGGGTCCTCACGGTGGACAGGTGTCTGCAGTAGGCAAGCCCTGGCAGGGGAGGAAAAGAACGTGTCATCATCTGCCATCTGATACCCCCTCACCTCGTCTCTGAAGTCTCCAAGTGCTGTCCTACGCCCCATCTCACTGGACTCCCACAATTCAGTGAATTCTCATCATCATCGCCCTCCCCCACTCTTCTACACAAGGAAGGTGAGGCCAGGGGGTGATGTCATTTGCTGACTTGACTGCTTAACAGCTCTGTGACCCTAGGGACGTCTTATCTCCTTGCTTAGCCTCTGTTGGGGTGATGCCACCCTTCTCTGCTGGAAGCCAAAGCCTTGGGTTAACAGGCTGGAGTCAGGAAGGGCAGGAAGGAAGGGGGCCAGTGACCCCATGGGCTCGTTGTGCCCCTGTCTGCCTCCAGTCCACACAGAGAGAAAGAGAATACGAGACATGGATGCTTCCCATCCAAACTGCAGCTGGATGGGCATACATCTCAAAGAAAGGAACTCAGGATTATCAGAGAGACATCTGCACTCCCACATATATCACAGCACTATTCGCAACAGCCAACAGACAGAATCAACCCAAGTGTCCACCAACAGATGAATGGATAAAGAAAATGTGGTGCATAGACACGGCGGAATACTATTTGGCCATTAAAAAGAGTGGAATCCTGTCATTTGCAGCCACATGCATGAAACTGGACGTCCTTACGTTAAGTGCAACAAGCCAGGCACAGAAAGACAAATATCGCATGCTCTCACTCCTTCTCACTCCTAGGTGGGGGCTGAGAAAGTGGGTCGAAAGTACAGAGGCTGGGAAGGGAAATACGGGGTGGTGAAGAAAAGTTGGTTCATGGGCACAAACATACAGGCAGATAGTGAGTTCTCATGTTTGATAGTACAGTAGGGAAATTACGGTCAACAATCATTTATTGCATATTTTGAAATAGCTGTAATATCCCAACACACAGAAAAGATAAATGTTTTTGGTATGGGATATTGCAATTGCCCAGACTTGATGAATGCACATTGTGTACATGTATCAAAATTATCCCGTGTACCCCCCAAAATGTGTACAACTAGGATCTATAAAAATACCACCCCCCTCCCAAAAAAACCCACCCAAACTGCAGCTGGATAGAAAAGGCCCTACCAGGAAAGTAACGGGAGATGCTGAGCACACCTAGTTTGCTTTCAGCGATGGCCACGCCCCCTTAAAAGAACAGCTGACAAAGTGACACCCCTTATCTGTGCCACCCTGAGCACCTGGAGGGAACTGGGCTAAGTTCCTGATACGCAAGAAGCACTTGGCAAATGCCAGCCGGTGCTATCTGCTCGGACGGCGCCTCTTCCTTCTGCCTCTTTTTGGCCATTGCTCCCCCAATTCCCAGAGAGAATTCTGGACCTCCCGGAACCTGAGGGCTCCCCCCTAAAAACGCCCTGAAGACAATGGGTCTACTCGTAACGACGATGGTGATCACGTAATAGCTAGCGCTTACACAGCACGATGTGCCAGGGAGCTGTCCCCAGAGTTTTCACGACTTAACCCGTTTCATCCTCACCGCAGCCCTGGGAAGCAGGAACCGCTGCTATTATCTTATCCCCAGTCTACAGGTGGGACAAGCTGCGGCACAGACCGGCGTGCCACTTGCACAAGAGCTGGGAAGTGTGGAGTTGGGATTTGAAACCAGGCCACCTGGCCCTAGAACCTGGGCTCTCGGCCACTGCCAGAGGTGAGCCGCACGGTCCAATGGCGTCACTGCAGACCCATCTCAACCCCTACCCCTTCCTCCAGGAAGCCCTTCAAATTGGGTCCGATAAATATTGCCCTGCGTGCATCAGGCGCTGAGAATGGTGGCAAAGGAGCAGGCAAAACCTGTGCTAGCGGCGCCCACGCTCTACCTGCCTGCCCCAGGCACTTGGGGATGTGGCCCGCACTGCTGTTTCAGAGGCCCACGGGGTTGTATTAAGACTTTTCTAAAATCCCTGAAAATACACACACGTTTTATCTCCCCTGTGTGGGCTGTGAGGCTGAGGAGATAAAAACCTGCTAAGAAGCAGTAAAGCAGAGAGGAAAAGCCCTAATTTAGAGCCAGGTTTGAATCCCAGCTCTGCTGCTTCCTAGCTGTGTGGCCCTGGGCGAGTTACTTTGCCTCTCTGTGTCGCTGTTTCCTCGTCTTTTAAATGGGAATGATATAGTAAGAATACCTGTATTAAGAATTTAATTTTTCAAGTTTTGGGGAAGGGATCATCAGACTACCTATTTTTCTGCCTTTTCCCAGAGGAGAAGGGAACTTACATTTATCGAGCACCTAAGACATGCAATACTAGGTGCTAGCAGCTTTATATGCACTTCTCATTCGATCCTGAAAACAAACCCTCCAACACGGGCCCTGGCGATGCAATGGTGATTAAACCAAACCCCTGCCCCCATGGGGCCCTCTCTTAGGACGCAGGGATACAATTTATCTGCAATCTGCAGAGGAGGAGATGGAGGCTCAGAGAGGTTAAAGCAACTTCACTGAAATCAGACATCTATAAAATAAAGGAGCAGAGGTTCCAACTCCAGAGCTGACAGCCCCTGATGTCATAGGGCTTACAGTAGGCACTCAATAACTGCTCCTCAGAGACCGCACTGACAGCGAGGACCTATACGTACATCCATAGAAGGCTCTGGAAAGGATCTGGTACTTCATGTTGTCACAGAGAAGTTTCAGGGGAGCCCTGCAGGTGGAGAAAGAGGAAGATGCTTAGAGTAGATCCAAGTACAGCCCGGGATTTTCTGGAGAGGAGCAGAACTCAGAGGGCAGATTAAAACCAGACCATCAGGCGGACCGGAGGGAGAGCTGCTATTATTTCTACCCATACAGCAACACTGCCCCTTCTTCTATCAGTGCCCCAATCTTCCTTTCAGGAATCAGCCCCTCCATAACTCTATCCCTGTGGGTGGATGGAGCTGACTCTACTCAGGACAGGACCCGGGTTGGAATCACATTGATTGGGCCAGAGATGGTCACGTGATCCAACCTGAGCCAATGAGAATCAGCCCTGGGACTTTTATTAGAGCTCCTAGGAAACAGACACTCTTATTTTCCACTTGAGTCTCTAACCCAGTGGGATACAGGGCAGTGACTGCTGGGAGCCAGCTTTGCCACTGCATAGGAAGGGCCTACCTGAGAATGGAACCATCACAGAGGCAAGCAAAGCCAAGAGCTAGAGAAGCAGAGAGAGATTCATGTTTTCAGCAGCTGGATCCAGCCATGCCTGAAGCCGCTGGGCCTCTGAACCTCTCAGTTATATCAGCAAATCTTACGTTTTATTTGAACCAGTTTGAAATGTTTTTTTTTATCACTTGCAGAAAGAGTTCTGACTTCTAAAGTGACCCAGGTGAACCAAACCGAGCCAAACTGGGGCTCAGAGTCTGGCTGGTTGCAAAGTAGGGAATGCCTCAAAGCTTCTTGCATGGGAATTTGCCGGGGGGGGGGGGGGTTGGCTGAAAAAAGAGGGAGATGCAAGGCCCAACATTGTTGGAGAAAACAAAAGACTGCTTAAGGCAGCGCTGTGCATTCTTGCAGGGGCCAGAATGGAAGAATATCTGCATGTTTATTCTCAGGACATCCCCAAGAGACACATAGAAAAACCTGGTGAGGCTGCAGGGGGAGAGTAGCTGAAGTCCAGCTACACACGTGGAGGCATTAAACATTCAAGTGTATCCCTTTGTGTCCTGAGGCTGGTGAGGCCCAGGCTTTCTCAGGTTACATGAGAACAAGATCACACTGACAGCTGTCTCACAGTTGGATGTGGCTTTCTGTGAGATAGTGAGCTCCCCATCACCCCAGGTGTGTAAGCAGATGCTGTGAGAGGGGGCAATGGGATAGAGCAGCATTTCTCACTGGCCCGTGGATCACCAGCCCAAGAGTTATTTGGGGGGGTTTCTCCAAAATGTAGATCCCTGAGCTCCCCACAGACCTCAATCATGACCTGTAGGAAGCAGCCCAGGAACTGATATGCTTGGATCTCCTCCAGCAAAGTCTGAGAATCTCTGGTTACATCATCGCCTCTCAAACTTGAAAAGTGTATGCATGATCTTGGCACCGTGTTAAACACGGATTCTGATCCAATGGGCTTGGGAAGACAGAATGAGAAGCTGCCCAGGTGATAAGGCTGGTTCCCTGGCCAGAGACTGAGGATCCAGGGGCTGGACGACTTCAAAAATCTGATGCCGGCTCCCACCCCTGACACGCCTATGGCTGAAGACTGGACCGACCACCCACTGGGCCAGACAGCCAGCTGGGACAAAAGGATCCCATTTTCCCAGGCCAGGCCAGCCTGAACCAGCGGGAAACAAGACCCGTCTCAAGAATTGGCTCAATAGCTCCAAAGAGACAAAAGGTCTATGGGCAAAAAAAAAAAAAAAAGAGAGAGGAGCTTGAGATTTAACTTTATATAATAAAGCAGCAAGTGACATTTATTGGATATTACTGCGAGCCAGACACCACATGCTGGCCACTTTAAACCATTATGTGATCTGGTCCTTGCAATAGCGACGTAAAATAAGCATTAGAATCTCCATTTGGGGAGAAGCGATCTGAAATGCATGTGGTTGTCATTAAATAATACTTCTGGTATTCTTCTGCCTTCTGGGCACCTGTCAGGGCTGTACTTCCTGGCTCCTTGTGGATGGGGCCAGTGAGTTGTGAGCAGAGCAGAAACGGCATGGACTGCTTTTGAGTGGAACATTTATTTGCTGTCGGTTCAGGCCCCTCCAGAACTATGTTCCCCGCTGTCCCTGGGACTGGAACATTCCAGTTGGCAGCTGCTCCATCAGCCAGGCCCTTTAATGTGGAGAAAGAACGACCCCCAGCTGACCCATGATAGACGAAGGGCACACATGATATATAAACATTTGTCGTAAAAAGCCACCGAGATTTTTAGGGCTGTTTGTTACCGTGGCATTGCCTTGTTTATCCTGACTGCTACACACAAGTAAACTGCAACAGCTAGGACTCCACGAAGGCAGGATTTAACCTGGATCTGGCTGGTTCTATAGCCTGTGTTCACACCTCCGAGTTCAGGGCAGGGAAAGAAGTGGGCATCCAGGAGGCTTTGGTAAGTGCTTCCATTCCCTCCCTCTGCAGCACGAGGCCCTCATACCTCTCGTGGTTGCAGCCATTGCTTGAGCTGCCATCGGCCGAGCCGCTCTGCGAACAGGATGAGCAGGAGGATTTCCGGGGGCTGGGTTGCCATAGGGATGGGAGGTTGCTCACAGAGACATCCATCAGATCCTGGGGGACTACGGTGGGCAGAAGGAAGGGCAGGAGAAGAGCCGTGTTAGGCCTATGAAGATCACAGAACGCTCACCCCAAAGCAAGCAGCTTATCCCATGCCAGCACAGGGACAGGGAAAGACCCCGATGTGACAGCAGGAACCCCAATCATCGTCTGACCCAGGCCCCGGGGCCTGCCTGATCCAATGAAAGCCGCCGCCAAATCGTGGGGGCCCCAGCAGATGGGGCAGGGCTGATGACAGGCAAAGAGGGAGGGAGAAAACTGAGAGAAAGACAGAGGAGAATCAAGAAAACAGGCCCAATCCCAGAGCAGGAGGCCAAGCCTCGCCATGTTGTCATTTGGTCATGCTCACAAGACGCTGCAGGAAGGAAGGGGAGCCTTTCTGGGGGCTTCTGGGGAAGGCTGACGGTCTCGCAAGCCCAGAGACAGACCTCATGGAGCTCCTGGTGGGGAGATGAAAGGTGGGGAGCTCCTGGCTCAACGGACAAGGCAGGGCACCCAAGGTCAAGAGAGCCCTAGAGTCCCTGGTGACGAAGGAAGAGGGCTCCTGCGCTGTCCATGGTCCTGAGCCACAGAGCTGCTGCACCAAGCAGGCCTCAAACTGAGTGGCGACCCCCTAGAATCATATGGGGGGGCTTGTTAAAAAGCCATGTGCCCACTCCACATCCCTGGCCTACTGATCCCAAACCTCCTGGAGACAGGGTCCTCAAACCTCTATTTTTAAAACAATTTCAATACAGCAACCTTGCTGGAAAGATCCTCATCTCTGAACTCTTGGACGCTGTTGCTCCCGGGATACAGCACACATAGTTTCCCTTATTTTGTTTTCCTTTATAGCTTCATGAAAACTTCAGTGTCTGCTGCACGGCAGACATGCAATGATGCACGCAACTGGGGATGCACGCATCAACCCTGTAGTCGACTTCCTGGCCTCTTGGCAGGTCTAGACAGGTGTAGAAGTTTTATTTTCTCTAGGACAGGGCTCAGGAAAGCTTTTCTGTAAGGGGCCAGGTAGTAAATATTTTACGGTTTGCAAGCCATTTGGTCTCTATCATCACTACTCAGCTCTACTGTTGTGCAAAAGTAGCCCTGAACAAATGTAAACAGATAAGCATGGGTGCGGGCCAATGAAACTTCATATATAAATACGGAAATGTGAATTTCACATCACTTTCACATGTCACAAAATAGTCTTCCTTTGGTTTTATTTGATCATTTAAAAAATTAGAAAAACAGTCTTAGCTCATGGGCTGTTCAGAAAATAAGGCTAGATTTGGCCCAGGGGTCTTATTTTTCTGATCCCTGTTCTAGGAAATTAAGAGAGGGGCACATTTCCCCGTATGTCACGTGCTGCAAGGACAATTGGTAATGCCCTTCTGCTTCCCCCAGGCTCCAAGGGGAGGGGGAGTTGTGGACCCGGCCCCTCTTGCCATCAGCTCAGCAGCTGGCAGGGTCAGCCCTTAGCTGTGGACAGAACAGGAAGCTGCCTACAGATTGCAGTTCTTGTGGCCACCAAATGTGGCCTCTCTCACTATTCCTCCCCAGGCAGACTCACCCACAAGCTAACCAAGAAGGACCACTATGCCCCTACAAAATGTTTCAGAAAAACATCGCCAGTTCTTAGCCAATCTCAGGAAAGTGTTGATCAGTTCTGCCCAAGTGTGGCAATCATACCTTTATCCCAGCCCCCACACCCATGCAGACATCACCAATGGATCCCTGTGCTAATGAGGCCACAACGCTCCAGGCTGCCTCCTGCAGGGTGGAGGCTGGACAGCACGAGGGCACTGATCTGTCCCCTGCCTCCATTTCCTGCGGGAACAGGACTCAAATGACAACATGGGCGAGGTGGCTGGCACCCAGCCCCTGGAAAATGGGGGGGACCCGAACGTTACTGGGGGGCTGCTCCTCCAGGCCTGGTGTAGGGAGGGCGGTGTCCCATCTGGCTCGTGCCCATGGACTCCCCCTGGCCACCACCAGCATGGACCGGCCTACAGGAACCATCGTCCAGGCAGGGCCCGCAGAAGCAGGGGGAGTGCTGCCCAGGAGGTCGGGGGCCGCTCGAGACACAAAACAAAAAGGACTGGTGAGCTGGGAGGTCTGAGGTGGGCAGGACACGGCAACAGTGGGCAAATGCAATTCCCGGGGGCTCCCACCCTCCCCCCGCCCTGCTCTGCACAGCCCCCACGTATGTGCTGTGTGGTCTGCAGAAGAAAGAATGCTGGTAAAAATGCCTACTATGTGCTGGGTGCTGGGCTAGGCAGTTGCCTTGTCATCATTAGCGACCCTGCCAGGGATGCACTTACTAACCCCTTTATAGAAGAAGGAACTGCGGCTCAGAATGATAACATAAATTCACCACCCAGAGCCCCGCCAGGTAGTAACCAGCATAGCTAGCCCTCTTGACTGAAGCCCCTCTTCTCTTTCCACTAATAATGGCTGTCACTTACTGAGTGCAGATACTCTCCTCATCCCCTTTTACAGATTAGGAAACTGAGACCCAAAGAGATGAAGCAACCTACCCAAGACCATCCAGCTAACAAGTGGTGGAGCCAAGATTCCAACCCAGAGGATCTGGCTCTGCCAGCCTGCTCAGATCCCCACAGCTGTCTCACTCCAGCTCTTCCCCCTACCCCGTCCCTTCCCAACCGGGGCGATTTCGGCAACACCCGGAGACATTCTGGGGCACCACAACTTGGGGATTAGGCAGATGCTACCAGCCTCTAGTGGCTGACTCCAGGGATGCTAGTCAACACTCTACAATGCACAAGACCCCCCCCCACACACACACACGCACATAAAGAGTTATTCAGCACCAAATATCAACAGTGCTGAGGCTGAGAAACCCTGCACTACACGAGTGCTTTGCGACAGGAATGCAATGGAGCCACATACGTCATTTAAGACATTTCTAGTAGCCACATTCAAAAGGTGAAAAGAAACAGGTGAAATCAATCCCAACAATATATTTTGTTCAACCCGATCTTCCCAAAAGGTTATCATTTTAGCACGCAATCTATACAAAATTACGAATGAAATATTTTACGTTCTTTTTTCTTTCATACACAGTCTTTAAAATCCTGGGTGTATTTCGCACTTCCAGCACACTTCAATTTGCACCGGTTGCATTTCACTTGCTTGGCAGCCACGTGTAGCTTGTGGTCACCGTAGCAGCCACACAGATAACCTCAGCAACAGAGGAGTCTGCAGATACCCTCAGCGGACTGCGAAGCTGTCTAAATGTGTTGGACTTTGTCTTCAGTGCACAAGGGGCAGATACAGAAGCAAGTGGAGACCGGGGTGATAAGACACTGAAAGGCAGTGTGGAACCATCCATAGCCGCGGCTTCCCTCCTGCAGGGTGGAACTCTTTTTTTCCTATTTAAGGCAGGCACCTGCAATTTTTCTCCATAAAGGGCCAGATAAAATATATTTTTGACTTTGTGGGCCACGTGATCTCCATCGCAACTCTCCTCTGCTGCGGTGGCAGGAAAACAGCCACAGACCATATGTAAATGAATGGCTGTGGCTGTGTTCCAATAAAACTTTATTTACAAAAACAGGCAAGCGGGCCGAATTTGTTCCATGGGAACAAAAGGGGGTTGTTGACTTCTGATTTAGGTACTCCTCCAGAAAGGACTTAACTGCCTCTCACAGGGGAAAATCACTAGAGAGTTGTTTTTGTTAACCCTGTGTGGCCCCCCGGCCCCTGAGAAATCAGCCAATGAGGGGGTTATCGTTTCCACGTGGGGCTGAATCTGGTCTTGAGGATGAAGGCAGTGAAACCACACTGCCCTCTCCCTGCCAACATGCATGCAGCGGTGGTTAGAGGCACAGGTTTTGGAGACAGCTCACCTGTGTTCAAATCCCAGCCATGTCAAGAATCAGCTGTGTGACCCTGGAGTGGTTGCTTAACCTTTCTGTGCCTAGTTTCCTCCTCTGCTACATGGGGCATGGGGAAGGCAGCGGTACCTGCCTGGGAGGGTTCTAGTGGGCATGAAATGAATTAAGGCGTGACAGAGTACAGAAGTGGGCCAGGCACACCTCTAGCTGCGCTCAAAACACGATGCTTAATTATTGCCCACTGAGCATCGGCCCGGCAGCAGGCCCCGAACCAGGTGACCGGGTGTCCTACGGATGAGCACACCGACCACTCAGAATATGGTCCTGGTGGAGTGCTGTTGTCCCCATTCTACAGGCCAGGAAATGAGGCCTGAAGAGGACGAGTCACTTGACCATCCTGCAGAGGCAGAGCCGAATACAGTGATGTGTTCTTTTCTCTAAACCAGTGGTTCTCAAACAGGTGCAATTTTGCCACCCCTTCCCCCCACCTCCCGAGGACACTAGGCAAAGGCTAGAGACATTTCTGGTTGTCACAACTTGGAAGGAGGTGGCTTTGCTACTTGGCATCTAGTGGTGCAGGCCAGGGATGCTGGTCAACACCCTACAAAGCACAGGACAGATGCCTACAACAAAGAATGATTCCAACCAAAATGTCAGTAGCGCTAAGGCTGAGAAGCCCTATTATAAACAAGCCGGTTGGGCTGGGCGCGGTGGCTCACACCTGTAATCCCAGCACTTCAGGAGGCCGAGGTGGGAGGATGGCTTGAGATCAGGAGTCCGAGGCTGCAGTGAGCTATGGTCGCCCCCCTGCACTGCTGAATAAGCACGCTGACTTAGCTGGGGGTTCCTCAAAGGCAGACAAGGGTTCGAGCAGTTGATCCGGGAGGTGTGCCCAGGAAGCACGGGTGCGGGGAGGTGAAGTGAGGCGGGGAAGGAAAGGTGGAGAGTGAGTTTCCACCAGGGGCACCTGTGCTGATCTCCTGGGGAACCTCCAGGGCGGCGGTCCCCGACCTTTTTGGCAGCAGACACCGGTTTCATGAAAGGCAATTTTCCCACAGGCCGGTGGTCGGGGATGGTCTCAGGGTGATTGGAGCGCATTGCACTTACTGTGCAGTCCAACCTCTCTGCTAATGACAGTCTGTGTTTGCGGCGGCTCCCCAGCGCTCGCATCGCCGCCTCGGCCCCACCCCAGGCCACCAGGCACTAGATGCTCTTAAGGAGCACAGCCTAGGTGCTGTGCCCCTGGGCAATTTCATGAAAATTGCCTTTCATGAAACCGGTCCCTGGTGCCAAAAAGGTCGGGGACCGCCGCCCTGGAGGTTCCCCAGGAGATCAGCACAGGTGCCCCTGGTGGAAACTCACTCTCCACCTTTCCTTCCCCGCCTCACTTCACCTCCCCGCACCCGTGCTTCCTGGGCACACCTCCCGGATCAACTGCTTGAACCCTTGTCTGCCTTTGAGGAACCCCCAGCTAAGTCAGCATGTTTATTCAGCAGTGCAGGGGGGCGATCAGAGCTCACTGCAGCCTCGGACTCCTGATCTCAAGCCATCCTCCCACCTCGGCCTCCTGAAGTGCTGGGATTACAGGTGTGAGCCACTGCGCCCAGCCCAACCGGCTTGTTTAGAATAGGGCTTCTCAGCCTTAGCGCTGTTGACATTTTGGCTGGAATCCTTCTTCGTTGTAGGCATGTGTCCTGTGCTTTGTAGGGTGTTGACCAGCATCCCTGGCCTGCACCACTAGATGCCAAGTAGCAAAGCCACCTCCTTCCAAGTTGTGACAACCAGAAATGTCTCTAGACGTGCGGGCTGCTCCTCCCACGTGCAATTTCCAGCAGGGTTCCCACTCCTGCGGGAATCTAATGCCCCTCGGATCTGGCCGGAGCCGGAGCTCAGGCGGAGATGGAGCGATGGGGAGCGCCTGTAAATACTCCCTCGCTTGCCGCTCACCTCCTGCTGTGCAGCCCGGTCCCCAACAGGCCACGGACCAGCACCCGTGTGCAGCCCGGGGGCTGGGGGCTGCAGCTCTAGGGGACAGCACGCATTTCAGAGTCTGCCCTACTGAGGGGCGAGGGAGCTGGGGTACGTATACGCCCATCAGTCTGGGCCCGAGGGCTGCTCCAGGGAGGCACCGAGTCCCCGACACCGCCAATACGCCCACTCATGGGCAGAAGGGACCCTGGTGGCCAGAGAAACCCTTTCAGACAAACAGGCATGGAGGCGGGAGCTGGCAGCTGAGCAGCACAATGGGAAACGCCAGGGGTGTGGGTGGGCACAGCTAGCGTCTGGCCTACATCAAGTGACAAGAGGATGACGTGGCCATTTCCGCAGATAAATAGAACATCCGGCACCCGGCCTGGCTCCCAGCAGGAGCCTACAAACTATGTGTCGGGTACGAACCTGTGCAAAGAGATCCCTGGGAAGGCAGCTCTAGAGGATGTGGCCCTCCCTGATTAAGCGGGGAGTACGAGTTAAGGCCGGTCTTCGTGGGGGGCGGGACGCCCAGGTTCCCGGGAAACGGAACCCAAGCCAGCCCGGCACCCAGGGACACTTCGCCCTTACCAATGGGGCCGTCCCGGCCCCGGAGCCCAGAACAGCCTTGGCGTGGGGCTGAGCCTGGTTCTGCGAGGAGGGCGGGAGGGCCCCAGATCCTGGGTGGGCACGGACGCGGTAATGAATATTTCAGGACACTTCGTGTAGCACTCAAGGGATTCCGGCCCTGCCAGGGAGGACATCTGCGCTCAGAGAGTCTCTCGCTGCCAACAGGCGGCCGCCTGGGCAAAGGGAGGCTGGGAGCTGCTATCGATCGAATGGGAACAACAGCGGTAAATAAAATGAGGTTAACAGAGAACCTGTAACTCGATACTGATTTGTTCTAACACACGTCCATTCGGTGCTTAATAAATGCCAGGCGCCCTTCCGAGTGCTTTTCAAATGTTAATTCACTGGATCCCCACAGCAGCCCCATGATGACAACCACGTTGGCAGTCAGTTCCCGTTAGCTGAGCATCTAGGTTGCAGCAGCCGCCGTGCAAACCGTCTGACACACACGATTAAATGTCACCTCGTGCGCGGGTGCCCAGTGCTCTGCTTGCTCTCCGCTGTTCCAACAGCACTTGGGCGGGCCTACTGTGTGCATCCTTGCGATGACAAGTCGAAGTAAAATATTTGCAACAACAACTGTACGTGAATGAGAGCAGCTAACATTTGAGAGTTCTCTGTGCGTTGAATGCCTTATCTCATTTAATCTTCAGTCACAGCTCTACGAAATAGGTGCCACGAATGTTCCCATTTTACAGATGAGGAAACTGAGGCACAGAGGGGTGAAGCGACTTGCCCAGGTTCAGCCAGGATCCCAGAGCTAGGATTACAGGCGTGAGCCACCACGCCCGGCCGAGTGGTGTTTTTTTTATTATTAGGCAAGTGGACTGTGGTTACTTTTTCTTATTTGGGAGGAAACTGAGGCTGCCAAGATACTGACTTCCTGATTCCAGGTACCCCTGCTGGCCCCAGAATCCAGACCTCTGAACAAAGGCCGTTTTGGGGATGAGTCAGCGGGTGGCTCCTCGGGGCGCGGGGACAGGGCGGCTTACCGAACTCAGACTGCATGCCCGGGTAGATGATCCTGAACACGTAATCCGTGGCCTCGTCGTCTTCCTTGTCCGAAGACGTGGACTCGGAGGAGCCCTGGGGGCTCCGCTTGCGCAGTTTAGGAAACACTTTGCCCTGGAAGAACATGTCCCGGTGCAAGGTCCCTGGGACACACGGCCCCTACAGCCTGCACACCTGGGGTCTCGGCGGGGACAGCAAGAGCCCACAGAGCCGAGCGAGGACCCGAGGGCAGGAGGACCCGGTGACGGCCCTCCCCAGCCTCCCTGGGCCCCCCGTCGGTCACTCACCTTGCCCCGCTGGGACCACAGCGGTGGGTCCAGCTGCCCGTGCGGGAGCAGCCCGTTCTCCAGGCACGAGAGGAACTGCAGGAGGTGCCCGCCCTTGGGGAAGCGGAGGGGCGGCCTCTGGATCCCGTCCTGGCTGACCAGCACCACCGTCCCGCCGCTGTCCACTGCCGCCGCCACCAGCCAGAGAAGACCCAGCGGGAGGTCACACGAGGCGCGGGGACAGGGCCCTCCCTACAACCTCGCCCCCCGTCGGGGCCCCAGCCAGACCCTGGGGCCCTGCTCCGAGGCTCCATCTGGCAAAGGCCTGGGCAAAAGGTCAGGGCGGTTCTACCCCAGCCCCGCCCCGAGTCTGTCTCATCCCAGCCACCGTGACCCATCCCTGACTCTCGGCTGCAGGACAAGGCCAGGAGGGGCGGGGCTGGCCTCCCGAAAGCTAACCCCCATTGGAAAAAGACGCCCCCAAACGCCCTACCCTTAAGAACCCTCTGCAAATCTACCTGTCTGCTTTTTGTATGGAGGCCTTCAGACTGACCCCTTCTCAGGGCAGTAGTCGGCTCAGGCTAGCATGCATTGAGCACTTACTGTATACAAGCACAACATGTTAAAGACACTGTCTTATTGCAATACTCACAATACGCCTAGGAGGCACTTCCTTACTAGTGCCTATTTCACAAATGGTGAAACTGAAGCTCAGAGAGGTCAAGTAACTCCCCCAAGGTCACACAGCGAATCGGAGGCAGATTCTGGATCTGAACGCAGGTCTGCCTCATTAAAAAGGCTTAAACCAGCACGTTTTGTGCGTTGGTGAGGCACAGACCACTTGCTTTCTAACGCAGGGTGGCCCTCTGCTTGTTGACTGTGCCTTCTTCTGGCTCTAGGGGAGCACTGCAGACACGGGCCCCGGATCTTCAGAGCGCTGGCCTGGAGCCACAAAGACCCGGCTCACGTCCAGGCTCTGAAGCTTGCAGGCTGTGTGCCCGAGCGCTAAGCTGCTCCCTCACCTCCAAAGTGGGAGTGGTGCCGCCCCAATCACCGGGTCACGGTGACAAGTAAACAAAAGGCACGTGGCTACTCAGGACTGTGCTTGGCACGTTGTAAGTGCTCAATGTGCGTCAGCAGCGAATGCCACGGGTTTGGTGCTGAGCCCTTAACACACATCACTCCATCCTCACAACAACAGCATGAGAAGGTGCTGTTATAGTCCCCATTTTACAGATGGGGAAACTGAGGCTCAGAGAGGCGAAGCCACTTGCCCAAGTTTGCACAGGGAATAGGGGATGCCCACCCCCTTGTGTCATGGTGCGAATGAATGGGCAGGGGTGGGGGCAGGCAGGGGGTCCAAGAGGAACGCCCAGGCCCCTGCTGTCCCCACGGCTCCTACCTTGCTGGTGGCAGTGCAGGTAGACAATCTCTTCCAAGCGGATGGTCATGGCATAGTCCCAGTAGACGCTGGAAGGGGAGGGAGGGTCAGGCTCGCAGGACGCCTGCCTGCCTTCCTCGCGGGGGGCGGAGCTCAGGAGGCCAGCAGGCCACACCCACAGGCTCCCCTGTCACCAGGGTCCACCGTCCCCAGCATCTGTGTTCCAGCCCGCCCAGACTCTACCTCCCCTTCTTCTGGCACGAGCACCCCGATTCCCCCCACTCCTAGTCCACATGGCTGAGGCGGGGCGGCCCCGCTGACTGTCCACTCCGGGACTCCAGGACTGCGGGGATGGCCCCCTGGCGCAGTGCTCGGAGGGGGATGGCTGCACGACCCAAGCAGAGCCGGGGACTCAGCTATGGGACTCGGTTTAGCATGGCCGGGAAAGAGGTGCTCCCTCCGCCCGCAGAGCAGGGCAAGAGGTCCGGGAGGGACCACAGCCCGAGAGCGGCGTCCACAGACGGGAAGAGAGCGCGGGCGCCCGCCATCAGGGTCCCCGATCCACCCACACGCGGGGCCACGGCCCTGGAGATTGCCATGCTCGTGGGCCAGCGTCTACACCCGCTGGAGTCTGGCGTCTAGACTAACTCTCACCCTGGCCCCAGGCCCCCGTGCGTCCACGGCCGGGAGTCGGGATGGCCGCGCGGCAGCCTCCACCCCACAGCTCCCGGCAGGGCGACCGAAGGGGCTCTCTGGGGCTCCACTGGCCCATCTGTAAAATGGGACTGCGACAACACACCCACCACAGCGTCTCCGTGGGGACCAAAGAGAATCGCGCGTCCGACAGACTCAGCTCAGGGTGGACACGTTAGAAAGCGCCAGCTTGGGAAGCGGCCTCCGAGATTTGCTCGAGGGTTTCCCGCGTGACCGGGGACCCCTCTAGCAGCCAGCTGTCCCCTGGAGACTCCCCACCGGTCCGGCCAGACGTTCTTAGCACCGTGCTGTGTTGGAGACTCGCCCTGCCCCATCTTCCTTCCTTCCCCTCCCCACCCCAGCTTGGAGGTCTGGGGGCTCGCCCCACTCACCCCTGCCCCTCCCCTCCGTTCCCCACCCTCCCCTGCCCTCCCCTCTTCCCCCTCCCCCACCCAAGTGCATCCCCAAGAACTCTGTGCTCGTCCAGTCCTGCCTCGGCACCTGCTTCCTGGAGGACCCCACCTAACACAGGCTTCAAGGTGGGACAACGTTCACATCCCACTTCCACCACCTACCTTGGACCAGTCCCTACTCCTTCCTGTGCCTCAGTTTCCCCAGCTGGGAAATGAGGAAGTTGGAATAGAGTGGAAAGCCCTTCCTGTCCTGGTCTGTACCTTGACCAGCCTCAGCAGGGCTCACGAAGTGAACGTCCTTTGAGGACAGCCAGGTGCACGCGAGTAGCAGTCGCTGCTGGGCTTCCCACACGCCTGGTCTAGCCCGCGTGTCCCTCCCGGGCCCCCACAGTGCCGTGTGCCTGTCGCACAGAGTGGCAACTGCCTGGTCTTCCCCTTTGACTGCCCAGACGCTACTGAACACCCCGAGAGGGGCTCTGTTTTGTTCGCGTCTCCATCATGCCCGGGGAATGTTTCTTGTGCACAGCGAGTGCTGAGCGCTGGAAATGCCCAGTGAACAAAGCCACTCTCCGAGGCACCAGCAGCCACAAGCAAACAGGAGCTCTGTGGCCACAGTCCCTTGGGACCCACGATGGCGAGCCCTCTCCAGGTGCCCAGGCTCCCTGCTAAGGGCTTTACCTGCATTTTCTCTCACACGAGTCTTCCCTGCACGCCTATTCAGAGGTTCCAATATGCCATCCCCATTTTACAGATGAACAAACTGAGGCTCGGGGAAGTGAAGTTGATTATCCAAGGCCACTCAGCCGGGAAGGAACAAGGGCTGAGTTTTTGGTTTCGTTTCACATGCTTTAACAGTTTTACGGAGGTATAATTTACATACCATAAAATTCACTCTCTGTGAAGAGATAATTTGATGAGTTCGACGAGTAAATGTACACATTTGGGCAACCATCACCACAAGCCAGTTTCAGAACATTTCTATCAGCCCCTAAAGATCCCTCTTGCCTGTTGCAGTCAATTCTGCATTCCCTCCCCCAGCCTTGGGCAACCATTAATCAGCTTTCTGACTGCATAGACTTGCCTCTTCTGGACATTTCACCTAGGTGGAATTGCACAAATATGTGGACTTTTGTGGCTTGCTTCTTTCACTTCGCGTCATGTTTTCTAGGCTCATCCATGTTGTAATGCATACCAGTCCTTCCTTTTTATTGAGAAATAATATTCTGTTGCATGCGTCTACCACATTTTACTTATCCATTCTTCAGCTGGGTTGTTTCCAGTTTGGGGCTATTATGAACAGTGTTGTTGGGAACATTAGTGTGTACGTTTTTTATGTGACCACGGGTTTTCATTTCTTTTGGGTCAAACGCTAGGAGCGGAATTGCTGGGCCACACAATAAGGATTTGTTACAAGAAGCTGCCAATGAAGTCTGTAAACTGGGTGCCCCACCAGCTGTGTATGAGGGTCCCAGTGCTCCACGTGGCGGGGCTCAGACTGGAGACAAGTCTGACCTGACCCCGGAGCCCAAATATCCACCTGTTTGATGGTATTTTCTCTCTATCAGAAGGAAGCCCAGCTGTGGAGTGAGGATCCAGGCCATGCAAGAGGAAGGAACGGCTGTGAAGACAGAAGAGCTCCTATATCTTCTCAAGACAAAGGCCACTCCCCTTTTCTTCATTGTCCCTTGGTCCCCCAAGGGGGGAGCCCCTGGAAATCCTCCCCTCACCACGCCAACCCCTGCATTTCTGACTCCTGGCTGCTTCCAGCCCTGGGTGAAAAGAACAAGGACAGACTGGGGTTCAGGGATCAGGGGCTGGGGATATGAGCCCCTGGACCGTGACCTTATAAGTTCAGATTTAGCTGGAACTCAATTCAGGAGCACTTACAAGGTGCCTGCTCACAACAGAGAAAAAGATGCAGAAAAAATACGCAGTCTAGATCAGGGGCCGTCAAACTTTTTAAACAAGGGGCCCGTTCACTGTCCCTCAGACCATTGGAGGGCCGGACTATAGTTTAAAAAAAAAAAACTCTGAACAAATTCCTATGCACACCGCACATATCTTATTTTGAAGTAAAAAAACAAACAGGCAAAAACACCCGCACGTGGCCCGAGGGCCGTAGTTTGAGGATGCCTGCCCTGGGATGACCTGGCGGTGGCAGTGGAGAGTCCCAGCAATCGTTGGAGCCAGTGCCTTTCTCAAGACACTGGCACCAAAACTTTCCTGCCCACGCAACCCTGGGCTTCAGTCCGAGCAGCAAAGAGGACTCTCAGGCTGTTTAAAGCCCTGATGTTGGGTGGAAGACACTTCGACGTTACAGAAACCCCCATCTTGTCCTGCTCCCTCCTTTGATAGAAAGGAAAAACTGAGGCCCAGAGAGGTGGAGCGACATACCCCAGGTCAACGGGCAAGGTGAGGGCAGAGCAAGCACGTGGTCCCCTAACATACACGTATCCATTTACTTGCTCGCTCATTGTCCTGCCCCGTGTAATGTGAGCTTTAGGGAGGCAATGACTGTCCCCTTCTTCAGTGGCCAGCTCCCTTGGGTCCAGCACGGTGCTGAGCACAGAGCAAGTGCTCGGTAAATATCTGGGGTGCGAACCCAGGCCCCTGACTTCTCTGCTTCGTTTCACACAGATGACCTGAGCACCTGCTACCTGCTCCAACCTGTGGCAGGGGCTGGGACGTGAGCAAGTCAGGATCGCTTCCTTTGAGGGTCAGAGGGCTCGAGGGTGACACAGTAGGTATACAAGTGGGCACAGATCGATTACGTGACCACAGTGTTCCAATATTAAATAAATGCTACGAAGGGGACAGCGAGATCCAAACTCTGCGGGGAGGACAGGGGAGGCCTGATACCAAGGTCTGAGATAAAGAGGCTGAGACAAGCTTTCGGGCCAAGAGCAACTCCTTGACCCCCGCCCTGTCCCTCCATGAGGGCTCCTGATTGGAAATTCCAGAGTCTGGCTGGAGCTGATTTCCTGGACCCAGCCTGGAACCAACTGTACCACCCACTGGCTATCTCTGGGGACAGATGGTGACCCCTGAAAAGGATGTGACCAGCTTAGACAATGCTATCCATCACTCCACGGCCTGTTGAGAACACAACGGTAATGTTCTGGCTATGTTTCCTGAAAAGAGTCCTTATCTTTTATAGAGATGCATATTAAAATATTTTTATGGATATTATAGATGAAGTCCTACAACGTCTGCATGTTGCTTCAGTGCTACACGTAGTGGGAGAGGGGATGGGTTGATGGCCATTGGAACAGGGTGATGGGTCCCCGAGTTCTGTCTTTATGTTAACAATTTATCACCTGCAGTCCCGGCTACTCGGGAGGCTGAGGCAGGAGGATCGCTTGAGTCCAGGAGTTTGAGGTTGCTGTGAGCTACGATGATGCCACCGCCCTACAGCCTGGGCGACAGAGCTAAACCACGTCTCGGTAAAATGCAATACAATAAAATAACTCATCACAAAAAGTTTTTTAAGAAAGCAAGCAAATAGAAAAGAAAGCCAGGATGGGACCAGGAGCAGCACAAACCATTGCTTCTCTTTCTCGCCCGAGGCACACAAGGCTCCGTAAGCTGGAATATCTGGACCGGCCACGCCTTTGCACTGTGGCTTCCTCTGACCTTCCTGGAGCCTTCCCCGCCGTGCCGGGCCACAGGCATTGCAGCACGGAAGGCCCTCTCCTGGCATTTCTTTCCTGCCTGATGTATATAGCCTTTGCTGGGTCACAGGGATTCGCAGGAGCCGCAGCCCGGGGCCAGCTACCCCGGTGACATCTCCCACCTCCCTTTTCTATTGAGTGACCAGAAAGGGTGGCCGGAGACTGGGCAGCGTTTTGCCGCCTGCAGGGTCTGATGAGACCTTTGCAGGGACCTCTCTCTGGGTGGGGTCTGGAGCTGGACACTCCCCACCCCCATGCCGAGAGAGGCTTCCGGCTGGTTTCCGGATCCTCCTGAACCTTTGGGCCGCAGCTGCGGGGAGGCTGAGCCCTGCGGCCCCGACAAGCAGGCAGAACAGCAGGCAGGGCCAGGGCACGAGCCTCCCCTGCCCAGGAAGGCAACTCTCCTGTGCCCAGGGGCGAGGAGGGACCCAGGGGACGCGCGGCAGGCCCAGGTCCTACCTCTTCTCGTAGTCCAGGTCTCCTACGGACCCGTTCATCAGCTGGTTGGGCGTCCACTTCAAGGTCATGACGTCAGCCGTCTGGTGCAGGGACAGGTAGCCCGGCACAGCCTCCATGTCGTCCCGCTGCAGAGAGAGGAGGACTCAGGCCCAGCCACAGTGCTGGGGTCACAGCGGGCGCAGGCCCAGGCCCACTGGACTCATGGACACATAACCTGAGCCTTCCAGGCTACGGCCACTTGGGGGACCCTAAACCTCCCTCCAGGTGGCCCTGCTGAGCAGAGCCATCTGCAGCCAGCCTTGCAGGACAGGTTCTCCAACGTCTGGCTGGGAAGGCCACCCACCCTCAACACTTTCCCATTCTTGCCACCCTCCTGGGGGGGGTGTCGCTCTGCCCCGGGGTTCCTTTAGGACCAGGAAGGGGGCTCTGTCCCTCTTAACATTACCCTTTTCAAAACAGAAGGCATGAGTCTTGGTCAGTCTTGAGGGAGAAAGACACAGCCGCTGAGCTCCAAGGCCCCTCCCACAGACCTTCCCCAGAGACCTCCGCCCCCATGTCCCCTGCACCGCCTGCCTGCAGTGACCCCTGGCCTTCCCGGAACTTTCCTGGAGGACTTCCCACCTGCTTTGTTTTAGCCCGAGCGGGTGTGTGGGGGAGGGCGATGTCACCATCTCTCACACATAGAGAGAGGCAGCCCCTCCACCAAATTCACCTCAACCACATGAAGAGACAGACATCTGACATTTACTGAGCACCAAGGGTGTACCAGGCATGGCCCAGTCTTCACATGCGTGGTCTCCATTTAGCCCCATGAGGGGCACCACGGCAGTGTCTCACTGATCCAAAGAGGCACAGCTCGTTTTTTTTCACATTTTAATGTACCTAAAACGGGGATGCATTTTTTTTTTTTTTTTGAGACACAGTCTCACTTTGTAGCCCAGGCTAGAGTGAGTGCCGTGGCGTTAGCCTAGCTCACAGCAACCTCAAACTCCTGGGCTCAAGCAATCCTTCTGCCTCAGCCTCCCCAGTAGCTGGGACTACAGGCATGCGCCACCACGCCCGGCTCATTTTTTCTGTATATATTAGTTGGCCAATTAATTTCTTTCTATTTATAGTAGAGATGGGGTCTCGTTCTTGCTCAGGCTGGTTTTGAACTCCTGGCCTCGAGCAATCCGCCTGTCGTGGCCTCCTAGAGCGCTAGGATTACAGGCGTGAGCCACCATGCCCGGCCAGGGATGCATCTTATAATGGGCGGCATCTCACAGCTATGACGTAGTTGTCATCGCCTGATCTCGCACAAACCCGGTCATAGCTGTTCATGCTGTCGTCACTTCAATTAAGTTTACGCACGGTTGTTACTCCATAAGCAGGGTGTAGGGGCTATTTTAGATGTCCTCCTAAAGATGAGACTGTGATTCAGCTTTGCGCTGCAAGGCTATCAAGAACACAGGAAGGCTGAGAGCAGCTCAGCGGAGACTAATGTTGATATCGGCGAACCAGGCGCGTCATTCATCCCTGCAGGGAGGCCCAGACTCTAGCTTTTCTTGCAAAGCAGCAGCCAAGGACTTTCCAGGTCTTAAGAACCATCCCAGCGATGAGAGTGGACACGCTTGCAAGAAATGCTGCACTTCCCGTGCTCTTGCATAAGGGGCCACCAAACATTTTGGGTAAAAGGCCAGGGAGGGACTATTTTTGGCTTTGCGAGCCACACGGGCTCAGTGGCAACCACTCAAATCTGTCATCACAGCCTGGAGGCAGTCAGAGAAAATATGTAAACTGATGGTCATTGTTGTGTTCCAATAAAACTTTATTCGCAAAAACAGTTGGCGGGCTGCCTTTGGCCCATGGAATATGGTTTGTTGATCCCTCCTCTTGATGGAACAGAAAGTGATATGTGGAAAAATAAGGGCATTGAGGACTCTTAGTCAAAAAGTGATACAGAAGATGGAACTCTGAACTGGAAGAAGTTTTAGGACTATCTCAACCAATGCATTTCAATGTTATTTTCCCTTATGTGCACTTATAAAAGTGATGTATGATTTAAAAAACAAACAAAAAACTATGTCCAACTCAATCCCAAAGATCTCTTTCAAAAGCATAAGCTAACATTTCCAAGTACTAACGAAACATGTATTTGCTCTAAATAGCATTTTAAATTTCTCAATGGTTATGTTAAGAAATGGTATATCTTAAATGCATGGCTTTTTAGATTTAAGGAAATAGACTGGAACACATTATGATGAAAATGCTGTGGCTTGGAGGAAGAAGTGACTTGCTCAGGGTCACCCAGTGATTGAAACTGGGACCACAGAGCTGGAGTGGCTGACAGTTCTCCCTCTGCTTCCTCCCAGGTGGGCCCAAATACTATACTGACTCTGTGACCAAATGGCCCTGGGGAGGGGACAGCCGAAGGTGACACTGCATGAGATGCATGTGCCTGGCTCACCACCCGTCTCTGCAGCCCAGCCAGGTGCTGGGCATAGAAGGTGACCGTGCAGTGGCACACGCTCTGGCACCAGCTGGCTTGAATTCAGTTCATAACTCTGCCTCATACTTCGCCTGCATTGGCCTCACCGTTGCCATCTATGATAATAGCACCTACCTCACGGGGCTGTTGTGAGGTTTAAACGAGTTACTATAGCTAAGAGCACTCCACTCAGTGCTCAACACACAAGACACACTCAATAAATATCAGTCATGAGGTTGCTGGTCTGGATGCCCCATGCATCTAGCACCTGGCAGGTCTGTGTAAATGTCCACTGAGTGAGTGAGGACAAGAGTGGATAGATGGACAGAAGGCTGGGTGGGCAGGGAGGTGGACAGATGGACTGGAAAATAAATGGACAAATGGACAGATGGATGGGTGCAAAGATGGGAAGATAAATATAGATAGATGGATGAATGGATGGTGGGTGGATGAATGAATAGATGGATGGGTTGGTGGATGGATGGATGGCTAGATGAATGGAAAGATGAATGGACAGATGAGTGGGTAGATGGATGGATGGATGGATAGATGAATGGATAGATGGGTGGATGGGTGGATGAATGGATAGATGGATGAATGTACAGATAAATGGATAGGTGGGTGGGTGGGTAGATGGATGGATGGATGGATGGATGGATGGACAGATGAATGGATAGATGGGTGGGTGGGTGGATAGATGGATGGGTGGATGGGTGGATGAATGGACAGATGGATGGGTGGATGGGTGGATGGATGGATGGATGGATAGATGGGTGGATGGATGGATAGATGGGTGGATGGGTGGATGGATGGATGGATAGATGAATGGACGGATGAATGGACAGATGGATGGGTGGATGGATGGATGGATGGATAGATGGGTGGGTGGGTGGGTGGATGGATAAATGGATAGTTGGGTGGGAGGGTAAATGGATGAATGAATGGATGAATGAATGGATGAATGGATGGATGGATGGATGGATGGATGGATGGATGGATGGATGGATGGACAGATGGGCAGGTGGGTGAATGAATGGATGAGTAACCTGGATCCAGAGAGAACTTCTCCTCTATAACCCACAGCTAGACCCTCAGTGCAAGTTCTGGGCCCAAGAAGACCCCTCACCGGCTGAACCAGAACGTTGTTCTTGCCGTAGAGCAGGGTGGCACGGGAGTTCTGGTGCAGGGACTCCACGTAGTCACGGGCGGAGAGGGATGGCCGGTCGTCCATGCTGCCACTCGAATGCCTCTTCTGGATCTGGTAGCATGAGGGGAGAGGGAGGGATGAGGCCTGGAGTGACCTTCAGGGCCCCCACCCTGCTCCCTGCCCCCACGCCCAGCCCTCCTTCCCAAAGCCCCACTGTGCGCCCCACTCACGCAGAGGGCCGGCCGCTTGGTGGGCGAGTCATGCCGCAGGCGCGAGCTGTGGATGCGGTGCCTCTGCACCAGCTCGTCCGCCGAGGGGTCGGTCCAGAAGTGATCTGCAGTCTTCATCTTGGTGTACTCCAGGGCACAGGGCCCCACTGCGGAGCACACGGGGCTGGGAACCCATGGCCCCAGAAGGCCCATCCCCCCGTCCTCCACCAGATGGGCCACGCTTTTCACCGCCCCTTCCCTCCAGCCATCTAGGGCGCCCCAAGTCCTGCAAGGGACACGGCCCTGGGGGCCAGAGACAGCAAACAGCTACGCTTGGAAGGGCCGGGCTGGCTGGGGCTGAGAAGGCCCTGAGGAAGTGCCCCCGAGACTCAAGAGCAGAGGTCCAGAGGGAGCTCCAAGCACCGGACCACTTACCCAACAAAGACGCCAGGATTGGGCCATCCACAGGGTCCATCAAGAGAGCTTCCTTCTCGTAGTATTTACTAGCAAGAGAGGAAAGGACATGCAGGTTTGGACCGGGACCAGCAGAGGGCGCTCCATCGATAGACTGGGTGCAATCCCCACCTGCCGTCCAGATACCACTCAGAGCCTCAGCTGCCCCATCTGTAAAATGGGAATAATAATAAGGCAGCTCCTAGGGCATTTAGCATGGTGCTCAGCATCTACCCGCTTAATACATGGGCATAACGGAGCCTTTATGAGAGTAGCAGGAATAATAATTAGAAGGCTGCTGAGGTCTGGCTGATTCTGTTTCCACCGCATCTTCCATTTGATGGGAAGGGAAGGCCTTTAGAGGCTCATAGAAGGCTGTCTGCCCTTCTATGCCTGAGGCAATAATATGCTGTTTAGCTGCAGCGTGTACTGAAAGGCTATGTGGACAGGCTTTCCTGCCCCGATGGCTAATGTTGATATCGCTGGCCTGGGATGCCCAGAAATGCTCCCTGGAATCTGGCTCTGCAAAATAATACGTCATGCCATCAGTACAATGTCCCTGCTGAATGTCTTTTGACTCGTCTGAGTTATCATGTAGCAGTTGCTAATTCCTTGAAAACTCATACAGTCTAGAAGCAAACAGAATTTCCCGAATTTCGGGGTTGAAAAGAACCTCATTCTGACCTCCCAAGGGATCTTAGGCCCAGGGAGGGCCAGTGACTTGTTGGAGGCTGCACAGCAGGTTGGGCTACCTCCAGCCGGTTTGGCTCTTGGATCATACAACAGGAAGTATAGGACACAGGGTCTGCGTAGGAGCTCAGAGTTGCCACTCCCTGCTTTGCTACGTGTCCCCGGGCAAGTGACGCCCCTCTCTGAGCTCCAGTACCCTCAGCTGTAAAATGCAAAGAATGACAGAACTCGGGTTACTGGAAGGATTAAATGACGACTTGCCCGTAGAGCAACAGCACCGAGCCTAGCATCAGGAAATTCTCACTAAATACTGGCGACATCATTGTAATCTTACCCCAAAGAAATCTTCTATCACCTAGACTATTGGTGAATAGTCATGCTAGAACTGACATGCTCTGGACTTGCTCAGTATCAAAGTTATACATTTTGGTGTCAAATCTGAAGCCATCAAGGCACTTTCCACTTCAGCACCACCCAGTTTCCATCCAAAAATCGGCACAGTTATGTGATCATAAACTTTGGAAGTGCTGCCTCAAGAACAGCAGGTAGAGTTAGAATCAAGATATGACTGCGACTTTCTTTCAGTCTCCCTCCTGCCTCTGGGCCTTTGCACCTGCTGTTCCCTCCACCAGAAACACTCTTTTCCATGCCCCCTTCCCTGGCCCATGCCCCGCGTGCCCTTCAAATGGAAGCTCAACTGCTGCACCTGCCAGGGTGCTTTCCCTGCACACCCAGAGAAAACCAAACAGCAGCACACCTGCTTTGGGACACCCTTCTCCTCTCATCACCATTACGACTTGCCAGTTGCCCTGCTGGAATGCGAGCTTTTTGAGAAGGGGGGTTTTGCTCCATGCTTCCATACATATTTTCCTCACAAAAGGGCAAAGAATGAAAAGATAAAAATAATAAAAATACCCAGTGTGTGTGCAGATGTGATTAAACTAGCACTTTTGTGTCCTGAAAGATAGGGAATGTCTCAGATATCTCTCTCTCCCTCTGCCCGCCGCCTTGGGAGGGGGGACGGGTGTGTTGGCTGTACTCAGGCTGTGGATTACTTCAGTGCTCCCCCCCACTTCTCTTGAGATAATATACAAGCTTTGTAATATATCAGGCATCACCACTGTATCCCTGATATCTACCGTATTTCCCCAAAAATAAGACCTACCCATAAAATAAGCCCTAGCAGGATTTCTAACCATTTGTGCAATAGAAGCTCTACCCCAAAAATAAGCCCTAGTGACAGGCGTGGCTATGCAACACATCTGCACAACCCATGCATTTTGTCGCGGAGCGGGAAAGAAGATGAGCAGCCCTTCTCATCTGCCCCATCGTGACAGCTACTATCCCAGAGGTGACCGGAAAGGTGCGGGCAGCCCCACCAACAAGGCTGGCTCCCCTGTCAGGTCCCGGCCATCCTGTGCGTGCTGCAAACTGAGGCTTTGAGGGGAAAATAACACATCCCCTGAAAATAAACCCTAGGGTGTCTTCTTGAGGAAAAATGAATATAAGACCCTGTCTTATTTTCGGGGAAACCTGATAGGTTAGCCCCTGGGACAGAGCAGGTGCTCATTAAATATTTGTTGACTGAATAATGCTTGCATGCTTGCGCGAGGGGATTCATGCTATAAACCTTCACATCCGATTAGTCTGAGCTAGGGGAGAAAACGCAAAAAGGGTCACTGTGCATTTTCAAAATGCCGAGTATTCGCCCAATTCCCTTCTCATTTCTTGTCTGGGGTGGCTGCGACCCCCAGCCCATTAAGCAAAAGACAAGTGCAAAGAGGGCTGAGTGACCTCCCTCAGGCCACTCCGGTTATTCACTGGAGTGATCAACGGGAAAAGGAAGAAACCTGAGATCCTTATACCACAAAGACCCGTGGGGTCCCCGACCCCCAGGCCACGGGCCGGTACCAGCCCTGGTTTGTGGCCTGTTAGGAACCAGGCTGTACAGCAGGGGGTGAGTGGCAGGCAGGCCAGCGAGCTTCATCTGCTCCTACGGCCGCTCCCCATCACTCGCATCACCGCCTGAGCTCCGCGCCTCCCACCCCCGTCAGGTCAGCAGCTGCATTAGGTTCTGATAGGAGCAAGAACCCTGCTGCCAACTGCACGTGGGAGGGGTCTAGTTGTGCTCCTTATGGGAATCTGATACCTGATGATCTGGGGTGCAGCTGAGGCGGTGACGCTAGCGCTGGGGAGCCGCTGCAAATACAGATCGTCATTAGCAAAGATGTCTGACTGCACAATAAAAGTAATGCTTCTACATCATCCCGAAACCATCGCCCCGTGGAAAAATTGTCTTCCGCGAAACTGGTCCCTGGTGCCAAAAAGGTTGGGGGCCGCCTAAAGATCCTGCTATTAAACACCTGAATCTCTCCAAGGTTCTAAGCTGGCCTCGTTCACGGTCACGCATCCAGGAGACATTTAGTTAGCCACTTTCTCTCGGACTTAAGCGAATGTCAAGCGAGAAAAGGAACCGGTTTTTGGCAAGGGGGTGCAATTCCCGCGCCGGCCAGCAGGTGGAGGCAGAGCGCGCCCAGGTTCTGGTCTCTCTCACCTGCTGTTTTCCACGAGGTAATGCACAATCTTGTCCAGGACCTTCTCAAACAAGGCCGTGCGGATCCACAGGTGCTTGATGGCGAGTGGGGACAGGTTGGGTAGCTTCGGCAGCTTCCGCACATTCTCCTGGAGGCCCTGGATCTGGTTTCGGCTTCAGGGCCAACAAAGGAGAACAGATAGTCACAAAAGAAGAAATAAATGCACAGGGCCAATATATTAATGCAAATACATTAATGCCAATATATTAATGCAAATGGGGAAATGTTCGGTCTCTGTAGGAAATGAAGGGCATGTCAACTGAACAACAAGAGCCTGTACTGCTCCTGGCAAATGGGCCAAGAGTTGGGGAAATAATAATACCCAGTGAGTGTGCAGATGTGGTTAAATAGACACTTCCCATACGCTGTTCATGAGCAAGCCAGATTCTCACACTGATCTCCCCACAACACACACACACGCTCTCTCTCCCTCCCTCTCCGGGAAAGGAGTGCTGGCCAAGAAGAGTCTTGGATTCTAGATCCGGCAGTGGCTCCCCACACCCTTGGGAAGCAAGCACTTTAACATGACTTGCAGGGAACCCCGAGACCTCGCCCCTATCAGCTCTCAGCAACCTCCTGACCACCACCACCCTCACTGCACGATGCAGCCAGCCAGCGACTTCTGCAGCTCCCATCTGAAGCCTTTCCAAGAGCTTCTGCTTCCTCCTGGTTTCCCTCCCCACCCCGTGCCCAGGCTCATCCCGTGTCACTCTTTAAGTCTCTGGGCAGGGCACCCCCTCCTACAGGAAGCCCTCTCAGGGTTGCTCCTTCAGCCTCTGGAGCTTGACTTCCTGCTCGCTTCTCTGCCTTCCCCTCCGCATTGTGATCAATTCGTTTTTAAGCAAAATACTCACTGAGAGTCTACCACGTGGCGAGCCTGGGCCCTCTCCATGTTTGTAGCTCCAGAGCCTACCACAGATTATAGGCTCAGTGAACGTGTTCATGAATGAGTGATTGCATGAGTGAGTGAATGGTTCTCCCTGACCACCTGGCATGGTCACCGCCAACTCCCCCATTAGGAAGTCACTCTCAATATTGTGGGAGACCCAAGGAAATCCACGCCTTTAAGAAGTTATCTGCAAACACCCAGGAATTTAGCAGGTGGATTGGAAGGTGCCCAGAGACCCGGTGGCTGAAAAGTCACTCCAAATGGGAGCTGGCAGAGCCAAACCCCGAGCTCCGCGCACCCTCCAGTTCCGGCCAGCAGCTCTGGGCAGGCAGGGCCTGAAGGGCAAGGAGAGGGCTGGTTTCTGATCTGGTCAAGTGGAGTGACTGCCCAGAGCAGAGACGGCAAATAGTCTTTGCATGATAGTCTTTGCCCTGCCCTTGCCTGTGACAGACATGACCAATCAATCCATGCACTTTTCCCCAAGATGCCCAATCGCAGCTTCCGAATTTTTCACGGCACGGTCCTCTGGGCAGCCACTAGCACCGCCTGGAGTTGAAACCTACTAGCCGCCCCTGACCAGGCTCCAGGCTGGGGCTTTGGCTGTGCAGCTGGGACCCCAGGGGGTGCGTGTGGTAGAAGGTGCTTCTGTACACCCACTCAGTCTGTGGGCCTCCCCCAAACACACACAACCAGTCACTAAGACACGTGAGCGAAGCCACCTCTGGCCTTTCAATGGTCGCTTCAATAGGAGGCTTTGCTTTTTGTTTTTTTTTTTTTGTTTTTCTTTTTTGAGACAGAGTCTCACTCTGCTGCCCAGGCTGGAGTGCAGTGGTGTGGTGCAATCACAGCTCACTGCAGCCTTGAACTCCAGGGCTCAAGCGATCCTCCCGCCTCGGCCTCCCAAAGTGCTGGGATTACAGGCACGAGCCACCGCACCCGGCCCAGAGTTTTCTTTACGTGTCGAATCAGTTGTGTTCAAATATATTATAATAAACCTATCAATGTGAGCGTTAACCAGAGGCCCTAGCATCTGGGCCACATGGGCCATGTCGATTCTATCACACTTTGGTCGTCTCGCATTTAGAACAGGGATTGGCTCCTAGCAGGCACTTACTCACTCAGCAATTGTTTCTTGGGCATTTAGCAGGTGCTGGACACTGTGCCAGCTGCTGGGGACATGACGGAGAAACACAGATGTTGTTCCCTGTTCTCATGGAGTTCAGAGCCAACCGAGGCAGGCAGACGACAATCAAGGAGACAGTAAACAAACGAAAGAATTGCTACTTACGGATGGCAACGACCACTGGGAAGAAAGCAAACAGGGTGATATGAAGAAGAGGATGGGGTGTCAGCTGGAATTTGCTGAGCTGGGGGAAAGTCTGAATGATGACCAGGGCCCAGCCATGGAAGATGAGGTGGGTGAGCCTGGTGGAGGGTACAGCACAGCATGTGCAAAGGTCCTGGGGTGGGAAAGCATCTGGCAGGTGTGAGGAGCAGCAAAGAGAGGAAGGAGAGTGTTGGGGGAAGGGAGAAGAGGGTGTGGGCTCCCCCTGAGCCCCGGAGAAGCGTGGGACTATCTTCCGGGGGCAGCTGCCCAGCCTGCACCCCACACTGCAACACTCACGTGCTCTCGATCAGCTGCTCCAGGTCCTGCACCTTGTGGCTCAGACCCTCCGCGGGCGGGAAGCTCTTGCCCACTTTCATGAACAGAGCCGCGATCTTATTGCTCCGCAGGAAGCCGGCCGCCCGCCGCCGCAGCCCGTGCAGGACGCAGGCCTCCACGGCCGCTGGGGGGGACACGGTGGTCAGCGGGCCCTGCCCTGCCCATGCTGCCCGGCACCCAGCGTGGCCTGGGTGAGCCGCAGTCGGGCGGGGACCCCTTGGAGAGCCGGGGTGCCCAGGATCACAGAGCTCAGGACAGCGTCAGAGGGGAAGACGGGAGCAGCACACCCGCCTTCCAGGCCCTCCAAAGCGGGCGGGAGAGCGTAGTGGTCAGACCGTCCCCCCACTAGCCAGCCGTGTGGCTGTGGGCAGTGACTCCCCCGCTCTGGGCCTCAGCTTCCCTATCTGTAAAATGGGGATAGCATGAACACCACCAGCCTCACAGGTTGCTGGTAGGATGGGATGAGGTGGAAAGAAATGCTGGTGCACAGAGGCCGGTGCCCAGTGGCGCACTGTAAGACTGTCGGCCACCATTCCCGCCTAAGAGGGCGGGAGCCTGGATCACACGCCTTTTGAGCTACGTCTGGATTAAAGAATCACATCACCATCATCATCATTTATATTGCCATTACAGTCACAGCTAACATTTACGAGTCTCATTCAATCTCTGCCATGGCAGGGGAAGAAACGAAGAAAACTATCCCCATTTTTCAGATGTGGACACTGAGGCTCAAAGAGGCGAAATGAGTTGCCCAGGGCCACCCAGAAAATAAGCAATAAAGCCAGGATTCAAACCCAGGTCTGAGTCTAGGGCGTGCCACAGCAACTGTGCTTCCACACGGACCTCCGAAGGGAGCATTTAGTAGTCAGCATCCCACTTCTGTCCTTCCCCTGGAGGCCCTGCCCAGTTCTCCTCAAGGCAGGAGGTCTGGGCTGTAGCCTGGGCTCTACCACTAACTTGCTGTGTGGCCTCAGGCAAATCACTTGCCCTCTCTGGGCCTTGGTGGTCCCTTCTGGGAAAACGGCCGTGTGCAGGCCATTGTGAGGGCTGCTATCTTCCTCCTGGTAACTGCAGCTGCCCTCTTTATCTCCTTACCTTCTGTCTTACACAGCAGACTAGGAGCTCACGCTGTGTACGATAAGTGCATAATCAATGTTTATTGAGAGAGTCTATCATAAGAGCTACTCTTTATTGGGCACCTGCTGGGTGTCAGATGACTGTTATGATTTATTTCCCTAATTCTTGGGACAAAAACTATGAGGTAAGAGCTCTACGGAGTAAAACAGCACTCTCGGGGGTCTGAGCAACACCGAGAGATTTTGGTTTCATCACTTGTCTTTGGTTTTGTTTGTTTGTTTGGTTGAGTTAGCAATTACTTGGTTTCCAATGAATGTCCAAATATTGCCTAATCTGCCCAGGGATTTAAAATATTCCAGGTGAGAATTTCTTAAATAGCTTAATTTTAATTTACAGTCACAGTACTTTCCATATATATTGAATATATATGTATATATTATATATATTGAATATATATTATATATATTGAAATAAGTTTATTGTCTATTCAGGCTGTGTAGACATTGCTTAATTCTTTCTGATAACGGCTCATCATGAACAACGAATAAAAGAAACCTCAAGGAGATGCTTTAGGCCTCATTTGTGGCTATCAAATTTCTCCTGCCCAAAAACTTAGTGCAGAGTTAGAGAATTGTTATAATTTTTAAAATCATTTTCTTTCCTTAAGTCTCTGAATGGTAGGTATGTTAGCAAGTCCTGACGTGGATATGAATGTGATTTTATCTGCAAATAAAAATGTCCAGGAGAAAATAAAAACTTGGGATTATACATATACACACATGTGTGTATATGTGTATATACATACATGTACACATGTATATATATAAACATATCCCACTTAAAAAAATACTGTGCCCAAGGTCACCCAACAAGGAAATGGCAGAGATGGGACATGACCCCAGGTCTGTCTGGCTAAAAAGGGGGAGAACTGAGATCAGTGGAACTCCCAGGTTGCAGACTGTGCTCGGCATGTTGGGGGCCCCTGGGGGTGGGGCCCCAGCCCTGTGCACGGCAGCTGACAGACTGGCCACAGCTCCTGTCTCAGGCCTCCCCACGGGGCCAAGATCGCAGGAGGAGAATAAGAGCATGTCTTCTATTAGGAGACACCCCAATTATTAAATGAAAAGGTTTTCAGGGAGAAAGAAAGAAACACTCCCACTTACACGTGCACACTGATTATGAGCTGAATCTTGACTTCGGGGGCATGCAAAACACACGTCTCTGGCCACTGTCCAAGCAAGAACCTGGCGTGGTTATTTCTGGAGCCCTGTGAGCACAGCGGCTGGAGGGGACAAGCCTGAGTCACGCACTGGGACCCGGGCCTGCCTCCTTTGCCGGGCCAGGTGACTGTGAGCCCACAGGATGTGTCGCTGGCTCTTGATTCCCTTCCTTGTTTAAAAAGTCCCCATCCCCCTTCTCCCTTTACCTGGAAATAGCCCCAGGCAGAGCAGGGAGAGGACAGGGGCCCGTTCCTCTGGGACAAGACCACTCGTCACTTGGGGCGTGCGTCAGTGTGACCTGAGTCCTCAGGGAAGGGACACTAGTCAACCCTCTAGTGTCAACCGCGACACCTGCTTCACTGGGTGCAGAAGTCACTTTTAATCTCCTCCCTAGACATTTCTGGATTTGGAAATTCTCCAGCGGGGTCTCCTTGGAATTGAAAAATAACTTCGGAGCAAAGCATGACGCGAGACCCCTTGGCTCAGAGACGCCACTTCCCCGAGGCAGCCCGCAGAGAAAGAAGCCCCTTCTCCGGGCCACGCGAGGGCCACCCACTCACCACAGAAGGAGATGATGTGGCTGCTGTCTTCGTGGACAAACTTGCGTGTGACGGCTTCTTCCATGATCTGCTTCACCTGGAAGGCAGAGGCAGCCGGAGGGGGGAGAGACCCAACGTGACCCGGGGGTGCAGACGCCCTGAAAGGGTGTCCCAGGATGTCTGGGACATTGTGGCGACGACTTTCCTTCCACGCCCTCCTCACCTCTTCTTCTGCGACAGCGTCACCTTCCCGTGGCGCTTAGCTATTCGTTCAGGCTCTCTGCACGGCAGGCTGCCGCTTCTCTCAGGCGTCACACAAAATGTCATCTCCTTCCCTAGCCACATTCTCCAAGGCAGCCCCCAATCCCACCCTATGACACTCCCCAGCAGTGCTCACCACTAGTCCCGTTCTACGTGCTGGTTTGTTGACTGTCTGTCTCCCTCTCAAAGAGTATGAGTCTCATGGAGGCGGAAACCCCATCTGCCTTATCCGCTGCCGCACTCAGAGCCTAGAATGGTGCCTGGCACATAGTAGGTACTCAATAAATATTCTCTAAAGGAGTGAATGAATGAATGAATGAGGTATAGAAAGGACTCAGTAGGGTGTAGGGTAGAAATCTGGAATCTGGTAGACCTGGGTTCAAATCCCTACTTGGGTACCTACTAAGGGGGTTTGTGGTCTTATTTTGGAAAACGGGGGCTCAAGCGAGATGAAGCAACTTGCGCCCAGAGAGGCAGAGCCCACCCAGGGCAGAGGCAGAAGCCCAGCTCAGGGCGGACGCCCCAGCTGCGTGCTTTTTGCGTTGTACTTACTCACTCTACAAAAATTTCCTGAGTGTCTCCAACGCGCCAGGTGTGGAAGACACAGTGGGAAGGGCAGCCATGCCTCTGCTCGTGGAGTTGACCCCCCATGGCCAGGATGCCCTTCTGCTCTACTGGTCGCTGAGCCCCAGTCTGCAGACCCCTTCTCCTCCCTGGGCCTCGGTTGCTGCACCTCAAGGTTGAGGAGGTCAGAAGAGATGAACCCAGCTCTAAGTCACCTCCACGGGCTCCGACATGGGGGTGAGGGAGCAGAGTCCTGAATCGCCCCCACCCAGTGGGTCCTGTGTCCCATCCCGACTCGGCCAGGCCAGCACTTCCATGCACCTGCCTGAGAGCGATCCTGGCCTCTCGCTGCCCCTCTCTCCCTTCCTGGAGATGAAGGCAGAGCTCAGAGCAGCCCTGGCCACCTTCTCAGGAAAAACACACAGCAGCGCCCGCCCCAGAGCCGGCCCGGGGCCCGCACCCTCCACAACCAAGTCAGCACCGGCCCCGTGAACAGCTCCCGACCTCCGAGCTCAGCAAGCTCCAAGCTGGGCTCTGTTGGCAGCATTTCTAAGGCTGAAAACTCTCTAAGGAGGCCCATGGCATTGGCCCCGTTTTACAGATGTGGAAACTGAGGCTCCGGAAGGCCCAGTGGCTCACCCAAGGTCACACAGCTGGGAAGGAGCAGAGCTGGAATTCAAACTTTTCCCTACCATGGCTCCAGCTACCACATCCCGGCTCTTCTGGCTATTGGCTGTATCCTCAGGCAAATCACGTCACCTCTCTGGACCTCAGTTTTCCCATTAGTTAAAGGGGTTATAGGAATAGCGCCAGCCTCAAGGGATTATGGGAAGACTGGTAATGAACATCACGTAATGAACATCACGTGCTGAGCCCAGAGCTTGGCACACAGTGTGCCTGCAATAATTATTAGCCGCTTGCAGGCCAGCACCTCTGCCTGAAACCTCACCTGTTATCAGGTGAGACCTCCTGTTATCACTGCTCTGGACCTGGCTGAAATGTCACCTGTTCAGGACATTAATGCACTGACTGTCTCACTAGAATAAACACATTTTTTTTCCTAAGGGGCTACAGTGTTTTATTATGAAAATAGAATAAAAACTTTGAAAACAAAACAATCCTGTCTAATTTAATGAAAAATTTGTTATTTTTTTTTACTGTTTTCTGTGTGTGATTTATATGCAACCCAAAATAGTTCACACCACTCCCAAGGTGAAGAGACGTGTGAGTCACGTATGCTTCTCGAGGCCCTGGGCTCAAAACTAGCGTGAGTTAAATACAACTCACATGGCAGTTCATGTGTTGAATTCTTCTGCTTGGGTTCCCACAACACCCATTTTTGTGAACACCCAACAGACGTAGAGCAATTTGGTCTGCACCTGCCTTCCCTGCCTAGCTCTGAACCCCATGAGGGCAAGCACTCTATGTCACCCTGCCCGACAGCTACGGTGCCAACATGTGCCCTGACTTCCGGCACGCTAGAGGAGCTCGGTAAAGCTCTGTTTGAAGAATGAACGGCTTGAAGAATCGTGATTGGTGCCAGCCTCTGATACAATGTTTGAGAAAATGTTTTCTTGTCACCCTAATTGCGGCTAAAAGAGCAGTGACATTATTATCCCTTTTTGTCAAGGGAGGAAGCAGAGGCCCAGAGAGGTGGTGCAACCTGCCTAGAGTCACACAGCTGGTGAAGAGTGGAGTCAGCGCTTGGACCCAGGTTTGTCTCACTCCAGGGTCTGAGTGACATGTCATTACAACATGTCGTAGGGTCCACAACATGTCTTTAAGCCCATGTGGTCTCGGAGCATTTGCCCACCTCTCTCCCTTCCGCAGGGCCCTGCCTCCTCCTTTCCTCTGCTCCCCTGAGGCAGGACGCAGTGATGCCGAGAACCTGCCAGGAGGCAGCTGCCAGGCACCCAGACGTTGTGTCCTTTGGGACATAACAGGGGGCAGGGGGCGCGTTCAGGCTCAGCAGTGGACGGCAGAGCACCGACAAGGAGGCACTGGGGGTGCGGGGTCCAGTCAGAAGCACATTCTGATAAACATACGGTTAATCGAGAGCTGAGAATTTGGGACAGACACAGCGGGGTTCAAATCCCGGATCAGCCGCTCCACTCACTAGCTGTGGGACCTTAGAAGAATTCCTTTATTTCCTTAGGATAAAAGTACCAACTTCTAAAGATTCAGTGAGACCTGTTGCCTGTACCTTTTAAAATATCCTCATATTGGAACCATTTCTCACCCCTCCGCCACCACCTCCCTCGCACAAGTCGCCGTCATCTCTTCCTGAATCAACACTGGGGTCCCTCACTGGCCTGCAGCCTCCCGCCTCCAAGAGGCTCATCTTAGCACAGCCAGAAGGGTCTTGTTAAAAGGCAAGTCGAAAGAACAGCCAGACAGAGTACCCATTTTCTCAAGGGCACATGGAACATTCTCCAGGATAGAGCCTATGTCAGGACATAAAATCAGTCTTAATAAATTTAAAAAGATTGAAATCGTACAAAGCATCTTTCTCAATCATAAGGGAATGAACCTAGAAATCAATAGCAGAAGAAAAACTGGAAAATCCACAAATAAGTAGAAATTAAATGACACACTCTTGACCGATGGGTCATAGAAGAAATCAAAAGGGAAATTAGAAAATATCTTGAGACAAATGAAAATAAAAACACAACATGCCAAAACCTACAGGGTACAATGAAAGCTGTGCTATGGGGGAAATTATAGGTGGAAATGCTTATGTTAAAAGAAGAAAGATTTTTAAATCAATAATTTACCTTTATACCTTAAGGAACTAGAAAAAGAAAAACAAACTAAATCCAAAGTTAGCAGAAAAAAAGGGAAATAATAAAGTTTAGAGCAGACATAAGTGAAATAGAGAATTAAAAAAAAAAAAACAGAGAAAATCAACAAAATCAAAAGTCTGTTTTTCCAAAAGATAAACAAAATTGACAAACCTTTACCTAGATTGACTAAGAAAAAAAAGATAGAACATTCAAAAATAATTAAAATCAGAAATGAAAGAGGGGATATTATAACTGACACTACAGATAAAGAATTATAAGAAGATAGTATAAAAATTGTGTGCCAAAAAATTGGATAACCTGGGTAAGATGGGTAAATTCTTACAAACATACAAACTACCAAACTAAATCATGAAGAAACCGGAAATCTTCACAGACCTATAGGTAGCAGGGAGATTGAATCAGTATGCTTAAACCTCCCAGCAATAAAAAGCCCAGGATCAGATGTTTTCACCAGTGGATTATACCAAACAATTAAAGAAGAATTAAACCAATTCCCCTCAAACTCTTCCAAAAAATTGAAGAAGAGGGAATGTTCCCAAACTCATTTGATGAGAGCAGGACTGCTTTGAAACGAAAGCCACTCAAAGACACAAGAAAACTACAGACTAATATCTGTGATAAATATTCATGTAAAAATACCCAATAGAATACTAGAAAAGAGAATTCATCAGCACATTAAAAGTATCATACACAATTACCAAATGGAACTTAATCCCAGAATGCAAGGATGGTTCAACATACAAAAATCAATCAATGCAATACATCACATTAACAGAACAAAGAAAAATTCACTAGGTAATCATCTTAGTTGATTCAGAAACAGCCATTTGGTAAACTTCAATACCCTTTCATGATAAAAGTCACTCATAAAACTAGGAATAGAAGGAAACTACCTCAATATAATGAAGACCATATATTAAAAGCCCACAACTAACATCGGTCTCAATTGTGAAAGACTGAAAGCCTTTTCCTTTAAGTTCAGGAATAAGACAAAAATTCCTCTTTTTACCTCTTCTATTTAACATAATACTGGGAGTCCTAGGCAGAACAATTAGGCAAGAAAAAGAAATAAAAGGCATGCAACTCTGAAAGGAAGAAGTAAAATGATCTCTGTCCAAAATTGACATGATCTTTTATGCAGAAACTAAATATTCTATGGAAAAACTTTTAGAACTAATAAGCAAATTCGGAAAAGTTGCAGGATACAAAATCAACATGCAAAAATAAGTTGTGTTTCTATATATTATACTAACAATAAACAATCCAAAAGGAATTTTTTTTAAAAAATCCATTTTATAATAGTATCAAAAAGAATCAAATACCCAGGAATAAACTTAAGCAAGAAAGCTAAAGAAAGACTTGTTCACTGAAAACTACAAAACATTGCTGAAAGAAATTTTAAAAAGGCACAAATAAATGGAAAAGCATCCCATGTTCATGGATTAGAAGACTTAATATTGCTAAAATA